TTGAGGTAATATACAAATAATCCAATTCACTTGAAATGTACTTGTTTCGCAACCATGAACTGTAAGAAACTGAGTAAAGAATCGATAAGAAGCTTTTCAGTTGACCTACACAATAAAATAGGTCTTCAGTAAGTTGTCTTCTAAAACAAATAAAATAATAGAGCTAATTATACTTGTCTGAGACTCCTATTTTCCTTTTTACGATCCATTATAACAACAGTAATGTGTAATTCTACACCTATATATTTGTTAGTTCAAACTTGAGACCAGAGGATAACTCAACCTATGTGTGCACATGCAAAGCAATAGAATAACGCTATCCACTAGCATAGGTATGATTCTACATAGACCATATTGAAAAGCAAAGCGAAATAACTCCACTTTCAAGTAGCTATACAACCCAATTTTACGTATTTGGTTTTTTCAAATCTTTTTATTCGCAATTTTCAATGTTGAATGAATGAATATGGAACAGAATTTCACTATGAGACCAGCTTCAATGTATTGACATGAAATACTCCAGGAAAATGTCATTTCAGTCACACGGAAATAAACTGTGCCAACGACCTTTAACATTTATAAAAGATCAAGAGTAAAAATATTATGTTGCTATGTAAAAAAAAAAGGGGGGAAATTGTGCGAACAGAAAGGATACAACACATAAGACCAGTTACTCAATCAGTATGACACCCTCACTCCCTAGATAGTTGAAGGAATGATTGGGAGAAAAAATAAAATCCACCATCATCCGCCAAAAAAAGTCACCTCGAAGAGCCGAGCTTCAAGACGCTTTATCAAGTTATACAACGTCCAAAATGATCACCTTCTGATTATCGTAATTGACTTAAATATTCATTTTCATTATGTCAGTTGGCTTGTAAAAGGCAGATAAAAGTCTAAAGACTGGCAGTAAAGTTGAGCATGATTGTGCAAACATTACAACACATATTTAGTAATAAAGCATAAAGGTAAACAATTTATATTCTCAAAATTAGAAAGACGTTTCAACTGCAGCATAAAAACATGTTTACATTCACATTAGATTTCTTTATTTGATATATAGCGTAAAATGATACAGTATTATTTACTTGATGACGTTTCGAGCATAAATTATCATTTGCTCATAATTATATCAATGTAATCACACAGCACTTTCGATCTCTGATTTCTATAGTCCTACCACTTGATAGTCTTTGTTTTTACTGGTAGTAAAATTTTCTGTATCTCTAGTATAGGTGTTGCGTCATTCCTGTTGCATGTATTCGGTGTTGGTTGATTCGATGAACAATCTCTCTCTGTCCACCTAATTATATTGGACTTAAGTAAAGTGGTTCTATCCCACTCTATTGTGTGGTTGTGTGTTAATGCATGCATGCATTTCTAGATTATTGATCTTATATGGGTCTGATATTCTATATTTAGCTAAATTCCTATGTTCGGTTATGCTAACTGACCCCGACCGGCTAGTTTGACCAGTATACTTGACCTAACAGTCATTACATGGGATTGGATAGATAAGATTATTTTGCCTAATTGGTTCTGTTGGATCCTTAAACCGATAAAGTTTATCTCTAAGTGAGTTTGTAGGTTCAAATGCGTAAAATTTCTAATGTTCCTTCCTTATATGATAACACAATAGAGACTCTGAACTTATACTTGTGTTGTCGCTATTATTCATATTCGTATTACTGTGATTATTTTGTTTCTCATATTTTCCTATGAATCTCTGAATAAACTGTGGAGGATAATTACTAATTATTAATGCTTCTCTTATGTGTTTCAAATCCTTGTTTAGGTTAATAATTATCCTCCGCAGTTTATTAAGAGATGTGTGAAGTATGTTGAATTACACAGCTTTTAAACATTTAACTGTATCAATTTCATGTAGAAGAAACACAAAAGATCATACCAAAATACCACTTTTTAGACACTAGATTATTTGAATAATCGACTCTCAGGCAACACAACTGACCGACAAGACGGATCTTTGTGCTAGACGCCTACTAGAAACATTCATTGTATCAAAAGCTAATGAAACTACCTGACTGGTAGATGAACATGCTCTGGAACCTAAGAATTATTGGTTGCGAACTGACTGTCTAAATCAAATATATGAGAAGGAGAAGAATGATGAATATTCCTAATTATAATTGAACTTTACAATCGAAAAGATGAAGAACAACTCATGGTTGATTTTCCAACAGTTTACTTAAATGAAAGCCAGAAATCTACTAAATGGAAGGATAAATATAGAGAACAACCAGGAGAACATTGTACAACGGTAGGTCCTTTCATAATATGAAACATTTTAGTGTGTCAAATAGAAAAATTTTTAAATCAGTACAAATGGACAGCTGGAAAATAATAAGATTAAATTATGATAAAAACTGAGCCGTGTATTACTGTTTTATGTACTAAACTATGAGCTGCACTTTATGTGTGAGGGTTTGTGATGCTACGTCAAGATAGGTGGAGCAGAGTTTAAACCAGACAACCACTGTTACAAGACTTGAATCAGTAAGCCACAGCCCTAGTTGGGAAGAAACACCTTGAAGAGAAACCACGAAAAGGATGAAGGACGGAGTACATCTCAAAATCTGTTATCACTAACCATAAAGTTTCCAGTCATGAATCTATTAGAAGTTATACCATAATCTACTATGATCTCCTAAGAGGACTTTTAAGTTTGCTTCCATTCAGTTTTTTAAACACTTTATCAATACTGATTACGATATTTGTAACTATGATGACCCAAATAGACAGATAAAACCAACGCAGAAAATCGTACATAAGTGCATTTGTTCAACTTGCCACATTTTACAGTAGTACACAAAGAACAGGTGGATAGAAAAGGACTGATATCAAAACAGATAAAGTAGTTTAAGAGAATAAACAATCTGAAGATAAAGATTAGTGCGAATAACCAAGCCTAAGAAAACACCAAAAAGTGAATAAATCTATGGTACTGTGATCGATTTTCGTCCTTGTAACACAGGGTCCTCAAACATTGATTCCGATCATCTTAAAGAAACCAACCAGTTAGTTAAAATCCCCCTACAAGGTTCAGACCAACAGTAAGAGACCTTATTGATTTGTGCTAAGTCTTGATCTGACCACTCTAAACCCTCATCCAATTTATTCTAACTTTCCCTAGTTAGCATGGCACGTCGAGGTAGACGATGGCTCGGTATGCGCAGCACATGTCCAAGTCATCTCAGCCCACTAACGTTCACAGCCTCATCAATCGACTTGTTTAGTACCATTACTCTGATCTCAACATTGCTCACACGGCGGTTTTACCAAACGGTAGCAGTGCTACGAAGACTGCTGTGATCGAAAACCTTTAACCGCTTCATGTCTACTAATTTAAATAGTCAAGTTTAACAGCTGTATAACAGGATAGAGCGAACTGTAGTGAGGTATACTCTTCCTTTGATAAATAGTCGGATATCTCTACAGTCAGTGCTACAGATGATACAATTTGGGAAATGCCAAACAGGCCTTCTATATCTAAGCTGAGATTTCGTCAGAAACCAGTCCATTTACGTTGATGACCCAAAACTCGTAATAGTCCAGGTTTTCTGTTTTAACCAGTTGTCATTTCCTTATAGTATCAGAGAGTTAACCCATCAAGGTTTTCTGTACTTCAATTACTAATTACAAAGCTGGAATATACTTCGTTGGTATGAACAATGACAATAGTGGCCTAACTACATGAATTACAGTACAAGTAATGATAAAACAAATAAGATGACCAAATAAAATCTGTCAGAATCGACTAAATTGTGTGTAGAGTATTAGATGAATGTAGATAAGTTAGTTGATGAATTCGGAAACCGTCATCGACCAGATTGGCTGAAAACTTGTTATATATGCCGACTAGCAGTTTAACACAATGTGCTAAGTAAGCGGAATTTGGTTTCAAATCGAAAAAAGGTATGCCTGCCCATATGAAGACATAACACCAACTTATGAAGCTTTTAATTGTTGCAGTGAACTGCAGGAGGAAATGTCCGCTTCTTAGTTAAGGTCTGTGAAACTATGGAAACGGATGGTTTGAGATTGTACGCAATACAGCTAGAAATCGGTAACAGTGGTACAGAGGCATCCACACCTTATCTTCAACAAAATACAAAAAATCAAGTTATTATGTCCTTCTTGGTGACTGGTAGTGGTATCTAGGATTCACAATTCGTCCTATTTGGGGATCGTCAGCTGGATATACCCATACCTCAGTGAGTGGTGTTGTCCCTACTGGGACTCGGACCCAGCACCCATCACCTCAAGTGCCAACAAACGTCGAGGGATCCGACCCTGTGAAGCAACGGAGAATTACCAATATCATTACAACAGGTGATACCCACTGCACAAGAAGTGGTTATCGAGCCCCAGTGACCTAGCAGATAACGCTTCAGAGTTTGAAACAATGGGTTCTGGGTTCAAGTCTCAGTGGGAACATCATCACTCGCTGAGGTGCAGGTACATCCAGCTGATGAGTCCCAAATAGGACGGAACGTGCGTCCTGGATTCCACTGCTAATCACTAAGAAGAATATAACATCATGAATATCCAGCAGTATCGAGGAATTCTCATAAGAGCCCAACTTCCAACAGAGATCGAGCGTTTCGGTTTTAAATATCAACGGGAAATTACAAAACTCAAAACAATCATGTTATTATGTGTTGTTTTCTTTATCTGTACACTGTTATTCCTATGTTGTAGCTTTCTATGATAGATGCTGCCATTAGATACATAACATAGGAAGAGAATACATTAACCGAAAGGCACTTTAAAGTCACAGATGTGTGCAAACGATACCAATTAAACTAATAACACAGTTGTGGTAGTAGCTCCCAGACACCAAGTGAAAAAAAACAAAACATGAGATGTATTAATCAGTGCATATGTGCCTTGGAATAAAAAGCCACTAACCAACAGAAATGAAGAAAGGAATACGACATTGGTAGAATATGAGACATGATGTTACATCGATAACTTACAGTCTCCATCTAAAAAAAACAGAACGGAAGACGAAAGAAAACAATACGATGCCTCATGCATCAGATGATTTATATACATGTACATATTTATATAGGCACAAGTATCAGTCACACTTCACAAAATGAATACACACTGTAATTAGCCATCGGAGGCATATGTGGAATAAACACCTACAAGGATAGCGAGTAATATATATGAGAATAACTTGAGTGTATGAAAATAGTCGCATGCATACAAGCATAAAGTTGCCACTTTAATCTTTTAATAAAATAGTTTGAAGGATAGAGGAAGCAAAAAAAATTCATGCACAAGAAAGAACAAACTGAAAGAAACCTGACTGGCAGTAAATGAAAGAAAAGGATACAACTACAGTGATATGTAAAAAATAGTTTAACGATAGCTCAGTGGTCTAAACAGTCGAAATTCAGTCGACTATTCAAAGGTTCAAATCCCGCTCCAGATAACGAGGTATCAGTAGCTAAGTAGTATCACTAGCCATCGGGAAGTGGCTTACTGCCTACTGTATGAATGTGAGCACGGTTGTTGAATACATTCCGTTCACAGAACTCTTAACAACATTTCCTTTCCATGATGAATTTCACGCAAATAACAAGTATGAATTCCCACATCCTAGTTATCTTAACAGATATATCACACAACAATATTATTTACTGTATAACGTTTCAGAAATCATTTATTGTCAATAACCCAATCGAAAGCTGCTACCTTGACGTGGTGGTCGAGTTTGCATACCACAATAACTCAACAAGCTATGCTTGTAGAACGCTTGTTGCTTCGAGGTCCTAGCATGGATAGTTGTAAGAAGAAAAGTAGTTACCGTTGTGGTGTAACTTAATCCATTATGAGTTGGGTCTCAGGTTGAAGTCGTACTGTTGTTAACTGGATCGGGACTGACATCAGTAAGGTGATTGAATTGGATGACCAGCAGTGCCAGGCTGATCCTGCCTTCCCTAAGAGAACGTGAAGATTAAAAAAGGTCGAACCCCCAAAAAGCACATTCCATGCCCCTCGCAGCATGCCCTTACTTGCAACAGGGATTCATAGTCGGATTCGAAAGCAAACAACAAAAATCTCAAACTTGCCAAAAGGCCATATGTGACCACCCTTAAGTAGATATCCCTTGTGCTTTGGGGACACACTTTTCTTTTCAGGTACCTCAAGGAGAATTAACCTACTACAGTGTGGGCAGTCGGGAAGTGTCAACCGCCCACACATACCCGTAAGCACCCAAGAGCCAATCAAACATAATGTATCCTCTTCAACTCTGTCTCCACCTTTGCCTTCACCTCCTGGTACTAATATTTAGCCCCTTAAGCCTTCCTCAACCACACATTCGGAGACCACTGTCAACGATCAAAACCACTGAAGCCTTATTCCTAGTCTCCTAAGACTCCGCCATCGATTTCATGTACGACCTTTCAATATCCGAACTCTATACCAAATCGGACAGCAAGCATTCCTCACTAGAACTCTGGAATTCTGGTGTGTCTCTAAGACACGTATATAGCACCCGGGCGTGGTTATTAACCTGACGTCACAGGGCCATAGTAGAGAACTTTCAAAATTCACTTTACGAGTGTCCAGAGATTCAATAGCTAGCTCTCGTGGACTCGCTGGCGTAGGTGTAGCATTGAGTTGCAAAGCAGAAAGTGCGCTTCTCAACTGAATATCAGCTAAGAGTTGTATATACGCTGTTCGACTGAATGAATCTGCAAGAACTATGAAGGATCATGAGACCAGGTGATGTCTATTCGTAATCTCCACCTACGCACCCACCAACTGTAGTTCGGATGAAGCAAAGAACGACTTCGATGAGAAACTGTCAATTTGGTTACAGAAGGCGAAATGTTTAGATGGCAGGTGAATTTAACGCTCAAGTGGGAAAGCTGAGCTGAGTCAATCGGAAAGACATCTTTGAGGATCTATGAAATTCCATGCCAACGAACCAACAAACATCATTGCTTCTTGAGATTTCGTTCCGACAATAGTTTCTGGCTAGCACTAACTTTAGGCAATAACAAGAGACACTGTCTCACATAGCGTCCGCCGACATCAAACCAACGATTGGCATCGATAGATCATATTGCTATAGTCCATCGTCGAAGAGCATCGTGGAGGATTGCCGCTTCCTCTGGAGTACCAGTTTGTACTCAAACAACAAATCAGTACAGGCTGGTGCGCCTTACAGACAGCAGGAAACAGGCGATGGTAAAGCCTGTCTACGTTAGACTGGATGCTGAGAACGTCAAGTTCGAATATAAGAAAGAGATAGTTAAGCATTTATCTGAACATGACAGCAATGCTCATCATGAGGAAACGTGGCGTGATGTTACGTCTACCATAGAAACAGTGGGAAAGACAACCGATAACCTACATCCAAAGGTTAATAAACGTCATTGGATTTCCGCAACGTCATCTAAAATGACTGATCCGAGAAGACTGATTCCAGTTGCCTGGCTCTGACCACAACGAAGAACGAAGGCAACTTAAACTTAAGTTGACAAAGAGTCGTCGCGTCGACCACGAGTAATGGTGGCTTGCGACAGCGAGAGAGACGGAGAAGGAATCAGTAGTGGGTGACACTCAGCAATCATTTAGGCTTAGTAAGCATACCAGCAAGAAGAAGACGATGGTGAGTGAAACCATCGCCAAACGGGATACGAGACTAATAACTTCACAGTACAGGCGGCTGCAACGTTGAGCAGAACATTTAGAATCCCAGTTCAACTAACCCTCAGCAACCCTCTAGTTGACCAACATCCAGCCTAGACCTGAATGGAACGCAGATATCGGTCCTCCAACTCTCTATGAAGTTGAGGAAGCTGTATCGAACCTGAAACAATCCAAAACAGCGGGACCTGACAGTTTGCCATCTGATATTTTCAAAGGTGGAGGTAGAAAATTGCTCATTAGAGTGACGGAGGTGGTAGGTAGTATATGAGAAACAGAGGTAGTACCGTCAGACTGGTCCATTTATCTGATCATCCCAGTCTATAACAGGGGAGACGAATATTGTGGCAACCACAGGGAAATTAGTTAGACCAATATTGTACCCAAGATCATCGGATCCATAGTTAACGCCTAACTGGAGCTCGAGAACAACAAACTCGAGAAAACTAGGGAGGTAAATATACCTACCAGTGACCGACACTTGCCACATTTCTCGACCTGAAGGCGGGATATGACTTTGTTGAAGGGAGTCACGAGCAAGTAAATAATGTTTATCAAAGCTTTCCATTCGAACTCACGCAGCCATGTAAACGCTTATTGAGATGTGTCGTGTAAATTGACGACAACTAGTGGTATCCGCCACAGATGCCTACTGTCACCGATCTCATTTAACTTCCTCACAGACGTACTAATAAACGTCCGATTTAACAGGGATTGACCTGCTCGCAGGATGTCACCTTGTTGACTTGGAGTATGCATACGATATTGTCCTGCTAGTTGAGGATGCTGATGCAACGCAAGGTCTTCTACATGCGTTGAGCAGAAATCTGAGTAAGTTTAGTAAGCGTTTCCATGGCACCTATCAAATGTAAGGCGATGTTTCTGGACTGGTATGCTGCAAGTAATCCCGGTTTAATGATAGGAAGTGAAGTGGTGGAACATGTTGACCACTTCACTTACTTGGGGAGTTGCATAAGCCCGAACGGACTACTTGCTGACGAAATTTCAGGTCGGATACGAAAGGCTCGTTCGGCATTTGTCAACTTGCGTCGTCTATGGCCACGACTGGCGAGATATCCGACAATTTATCAAAGGACGAGTATACTGAGCTGCAGTCCATTCTGTGAGACATAGCCGTTAAAAAAAGTAGAAGATACAAAGCGATTACTGGGTACTAAATCATAGGTGTCTTCGCAGCATTTCTACCGTTTGGTGCAACCGCCGTGTGAGCAATGTTGAAGTCAGGCGAAGGGTACTAAGCAACGTTAGCAAGTCGATTGATGAATTTGTGAACCTTCATCGTCTGAGCTGATATGGAAATGTGTTGCGCATGTCAAGCTACCACTTGTCTCGATGTGCAATGCTAAGAGAAGCTCGATTAGGTTGAAAAAGGATCCAGACCAAGACCTAGCATGGAATCTTTGAATGTTGGTCTGAGCCGTGTTGGCAGATTAGGACTAGCTGGCTGGAGTTTCCAAGACGAAATGAATCCATGGTCTAGAACTCTTAGTGACAGCCGAAAATCGGCTACAATGACGCATATGTATTCACTCTTTGACGTCTTCCAAAGTTTTCATGTAGAACTGACAGCGGGCTCTTAGGAAACTACAGATGGCGTTTTACTGGCTTGGATCGCTGACAATGGACTCAGAGTGAGTTCAGAAATTTGTAGAAGACCTAATATCCGCATCAGGAATTGAAGGCGAAGGAAGTGACAAATATAGGGAGCATAGGTTATGTTTGGTTGGAAATTGTATACTGCTGTGAACCTGCAGAAGATTGACATTTCGTGGAAGCTGTTTCTTCAGGAACCTGAAAGAGTAGAAGAAAAGATTTGTGCCACTGCAGAGTCCATACGACATCAGCTTGAGACCTATCATACAGAGTCTTTTTAGGAATATCCACCTGACAATTAGTTGTTCTGAAGCTGCATAGAAAAAAACTATACAGCAGGCACCTGAACACCATAAAGCAAGGAGCAAAGTGTTATTTTTTAGACCAAGCTTTCCTAAACCCTCCCATCCCTTTCTCTCACAGGAAAGGCAGAATCAGCATAGTACTGCTGGTCATTCGTGGGTAGCGTCTTACTTATGATAGACACCATCCAGCCTGTAGTACGACTTTGCCTTCAGACCCCATCATAGTATTTTACATTATAACGGTATGTGCTTTTCATTCCACAATTATCCAACAAACCCTTCTGATATAGTAGAACCTTAAGGAAAAAGCATTCTAGCCAGTGTGGCTAGTTGGATATAAGCCTATAACCCAATACTTGATAGTCTGAAATCTAGAACAATCATCTCAAGAGCGATACAAGTATATACAGAATCTCAGTAATGCAAACAGGCATAATAAAAATTAGGATCTTAAACAATGACATATGCACTACAGACCAAATATGCCACTGCCTTCATCAAATCAAACTCGTGTAGCAAAATGAATTCATATTTTATTTCAAGGCTTCTCTTTAAATGGAAACCAGAAGTTCCTTGAGCATAGGCCTTTTGAATTCACCACTATTCTTTATCATTCTCATAGATGACAGCTTCATGAAAAGCACCTCATGTGAGGATGCAACTATTTTCAACCTAAAAAGTTCCCGATAAGGTAAAACCACCATCATTAATTATACCACAGACTAGCCAAAAAAATTTTTAACTGAGGTCAATAAACCTGAGCTAGTTTCAATATCCTAGTTTAAAATAACCAGTAAACCTATGCCATAACTTTAAGAAAAAAGTTAACAAAACATAATGCTTATAACTCATATTGCAAACTGTCTAAAGACTAAACATTTATACTCATTGATTTGATTCCCTTTACCGAATTGAATGCAGCAATCAGAAGGAATTTGATACCATACATTGTATTCTGCTGTATTCTATTTAACTGATTACAGGCTATCAACAGCTAGTTAATGAAACGAGTTAAAACTAATTTACTTCAGAATCTACAGCTCATAATACATTAGAGGGCAGTAGAACCTTGCACATAAGTGCATCAGTTCAAGTTGCCACACTTCACAGTAGTACACAAAGAGCAGGTGGATAGAAAAAGACTGGTATCAAAGACGACAAAGTAGTGTGAGAGAATAAACAATCTAACGGCAAAGGTTAATGCCTCAGAAGATGTCAAAGAGTGAATACATCTATACCATTGTGACCGGTTTTCCACGATGTCACCAAGAGTCCTCAACCACTGATTTCTTTCATCGCGAGAACCCCAGACTGGTAGTCTACACCGCCTCACACGCCTCAGACCAACAGTAGGAGACTTCATTGATGACTGGTGTAAAGTTGAAAATAAAACAAATAAATACTGAGAGGCTATGTATAAAGTTAGGACGGTAATTCTAGAATTAGAGTGATCCCCAGACACATGAATTAGCAAAAGAATGAATTTCAGTTAAAACAATCACCGAGTTCTACTCGTTGTTGATAACCTGTAAGCAGTTAAATAGAATGCAACGAAATACATTGTATACCCCAAATTTGTGGTCATAGCGCTAACTAAACATGTAAGTAAATTTTAATAAGAGTAATTAGTAACACTAAACTCCACTATCTTATTTCTAACAGGCTTTTTTGGAGCAGATTTCAAGGACTGGTGATAGGAGTAGTAGAATGATATTGTATATTACGAAATCGACCATACACTATAAATTAGATTAAAGATATACAATGACTAGAAAACAAAAATTATACGTACAAAGTGGGAAAAATTAGTGTCGAAGACTATGAAGAAAAATCTCCTGATGTGTAAAACATATGCATACACAATCCTACTAAGTATAATGGATACCCCACATACACCTATGAAATAATGACATATACGGAGGAGTTCATGCACATCTAGGTAGCTTATGGAAAGCCAATTGCTTTTATCACATATCTTACAATCAGATAATGATGCCTAGTTAAATAACTATTGAAAACAAAGAAGAATTAGAGAGCTGTATAATCTTATCAATAAACTGCCTATTTGGTTCACTCACTGACCCCCAATCTGAAATTTTAAGTTTTCATGAGAAAAACGTTTAAATTTAAGCCAGTATACAGGAAATTATAATGCTTAGTGTTAAATTCAAACAGATAATACTAATAATAATAATAAGTAGATTAACCATTGAAAAGGTAATTAATTTACCATTGAAATCTTGTTTAATCCCTGTTACACAGGCTTCAAAAAGCCATGCACCAAATAGTTGTAACAAAGAGTTGATCTCTGGTCTATGAGGGTTTAGAATAATATGAGAATCTGTTGACAACCAGGTTGTAGCTAAACTCCGTAAATGTTCAACATGTGGATTTTTCTTAGTCAGAAAAGATAATAAGAGTGGAGCAGTACTTAACTTCTGATTAGACGACTGTCCACTAAACGAAATATTCGATGACGGTGAAGATACTTGAGAACTTGCAGTTTGTGACGGTTGAAAGGTATTTGTTAAAGATGCATTAATTTCATTCGGAGTTAAAGAACTGCTAGTATGCGAAATATGCTGATATCCTGAAGTGTTATTGATTGGAGCAAATCCAGACTTCGAGCCTCCAGATGTTCCAGCAGAAGCAAGTATTCCAGCAGATGTGACAACGCTTGCTAATCTAGATTTTCCTATATTAATACGACAAAATAAATTGAAATATTTTTGAAAAATCAAGGTTAGATTACACTTAGTTCAAATAAAACATGGAAAAGAAATACAAAACATGATAAACCTTGATTCGTTCTTAGACTAACTAACCATATTATGTTGAGGTAACCAAGATATAAAAGAAATACATTGTTTATATATTTTAAGGTTAATGGGGATTTTATGTTTAAGGTAGCATCCATCACGGACTGACATCAATTGAAGAACCATTGGAAACCTGGGAACAAAGGACAGCCATTTTTTTCCGGGTGATAGCCCCGCTTTATCGCGAATTGCTAGAAGTAGGAAACTGTGTACCCAGTAGTTGAACGACAAACGCATTCGCTGTGGGACGTGAAAGAGACTTAAGTTCGATTTCTAGCCGGGTTGTTGGCACAGACTGCTAAAAAGTCCCCTACTAGGACGAAGCAACTGTTCAGTGCTCCCAGGTTTTAAATGGTCCCCCAATTGATGTCATTTTGTGATGAATGCCATCTTAAACATTGTTTATAGTTAAAACACAGTCTTTTCGAAGTTGTTAACATTTGCGTTGATGATCCTAAAGGCTTAGACAACGCAGAAAAGTGAAGTGATATACAAGTGTTATCTAGAAGAAAGGTGTTGAGCAATTATTGCTTCAGAAAAATAACTCAGAATAATAGTGAGTCTAGTATAATTGCTTGTATTGTACCGTCGTTGACTGGATAGAATTGATCGGTCTCTATTGGCATATAGGTTCCTATGCAGATACCTCGATATTACCTGTGTTCTAATTAGAGCAATGATGGACAGTGGCTGCCAGTGGAACCCTGCTTCTCAGTGAGAGATGGTGTTCCCATTGAGATTCGGACTCGGAAGCGATCGCTTTAAAAGCCAGAGCGTTATCCACTACACCACCGAGCCAACTGCCCTGGTGTTTGAAGCGATCGCTCCCGAGTCCGAATCCCGGTAGGAACAACATCACTCACTGGGAGACAGGTACATCCAGCTGACTAGTCCCAAACAGGACTAAATATGCATCTTGGATTCCACTGCTAGCCACTATCCATTATTACTATAATTATGAGTCTAGTTCCAAAGAACTACTGGATCAGCTTAGTAACATAGTTTTGATAAACTTTATGCAGTAACAAGCGACATCTTTGACAAAAAATAGCAATTATAATAAGAACACAAATACCATTCGCCTTAACAACTGAATTCACTAACAGAGCCAAGAACTTTGCAAATATGCATAAAAGTAGAAATTTTTTCAGGACCGAGAAGACTAAACATCACATATTCTTAAGGGCACGGTTTGAGAGCATCCACGTTGAAGTGACCTTCTACACACCGCTGAATATGACAAAGATTGGTCAAAAACACTTAGTTTAATAGTTGACTACATCAGGAACAAAAATGAATCTTTTTTGTATCATCTTCCCCCCTCACCTATCCAAAAATGTGTTGGGACCAAACACCTAGTTAGTGACACCAATAATTGAGGGATATCTTCCATCGAATAGTATAAGGCAACGTAAGATATCACAAGGCATAAAGGCCATACCATGAATCCAATTTAATAGGATTTCATTAATAACTGAAATTTATTCCCCGTGGAGCTGTGGCTCAGTGGTTTGGGGAGATGATTATCCGCCAATGAGTCAGGGGTTCAAGCCCCGCTTCACCTGCTTGAACAACCAGGTGGCACCACTAGTCCTCTCACAATAGATGTGGCTCATTGCCTATTGCATGGTGTGCACAAGGTGGTTGAGTGCGTTAAATGCCTAGATTATGGACAACAGTTACTTTGCCAGAACACTTAGAGAACAGACAAAAACAGCGCATTAATCACGGAATAATTACGTAAAAAGCAGTAATGCAGTATATCAAATAATGCAAGTTGGTGTTTAAAGTAAACTCTTGGTAACGCCTAGCAGTAAAATTTAAGATATATGTTTTGTCCTACTTTCAAATCATCAGTGAAAAGTAACTGACATTCCATTCAATGATAATCTTTCTGCTCAAACTAAGACCCAGCACTCATCACTTCAAAGGTCGAAACGCTACTCACTGACCCGTAGGTAAATGAAAATCATATTTTGAGTGATAGCGATTAGATATTATTTAGACTTTGTGTTTCCCTGATGTTTATTTTACTGGTCCAAATTGATCAGAATCCTAATATGTATGTTCCGATACATTACAATAGTAGATCAAACTACCTTCAAATGACAGAAAATACACCTAATAGAAAAAAATACAACTACTTACTGCTCGCCTTTTCCGTAGAAAAACTACCTGCGGCTACACGTGACCCAGTGTGAACACTTGAAACGCCCACAACTAGCGATTTTCTGATTTCTGTTTGAATATAATAAAAGTAACAAATTAGATTTGTAAACAATCGCGAAAAAAGCGTGTCAATTCATGTTAGTTCAATTTGGAGGTTTGTGAAGACTTGTTCATTGATTTTCGGGTTGGTATTCATCATGGACTGACATAAGTTAAGAAACAATAGAAACCTGGGAGTACTAGACAGCTGTTTCGTCCCAGTCAGGGACTCCCCAAGAGTGCGCACACATGATCCCACTAGGGATCGAACCCGCGACCTCCATGTTCCGCGGCCAGGACGTTACCACTGAGCCAAAGGGTTGGGTCCTAATGGTCCACATTCCCTAATTCTGTCAGTTCACGATATAGCGCGACCTTCATCCAATGTAGTCATTGAGTAACTGTTCTCATGTTCGATTTGGTTGGCTTATGTTGATTATGTTTATGTATCCAATGACCCTTAACTGAAACACATATAAGCAGAAAAATCGCTCTCACGAAAAGCAGCAAACAGAAATAAACAATGTACATCATATAGTGTTATTGCTTGTATTACACCGTCGTTGATTGGATCTAATGATCAGTCTCTGTTGGCATATGGGCTCCTATGCGGATGCCTCGATGTTGCCTGTCTTTTTAACTATGTGTAGTAATGATAGGCAGTGGCTAGCAGTGGAATCCAGGATGTGCAACAACAGGAAGCAATAACACTAAACCTATACCCGTCGCACAAGAAGTGGCTATCGTTGCTCGGTGGTGTAGTGGAGAACACTCTGGTGTTCGAAGCGATCGCTCCTGAGTCCGAGTCCCGGTGGGGACAACACTCACTGAGAGGCAGGTACATCCAGCTAACCAGTCCCAAATAAGACGAAATGTGCATCCTGGACTCCACTACTGGCCACTGCCCATCATTACCATATAAATGTACATCATGCTTCTAAAACAGAACAGAATTATTTGCAGTTACATGAATATTTCTACAGGTTCGAAAGGGGACTTGTAGCAGAAGTTCAATTTAAAGTTACATAAAATCACTGATTCCATTGATTTTAAAATGATCTACATGCAGTATTAATCTTTTAAAAAATATCTGGTTTTCATTGTTTGATACTTGGCCTAATGGATAGCGCTTCGGTGTTTGAAGCGATGGGTGTTGAATTCCAGTCTAAATACGAACAACACTTACTGCGGTATAGCTACATCCATCTCATGAGCGTAAAATAGGAGGAAACGAGCATCCTGAATTCCACTGCTAGACATCAAGAAGAATATCTACTTTTCATATACAATAAGTTGAAGGTCGGAGTATAAGATTAGCAGAAATAAGCATCCATTCAGTTCATGAATTTTATAAATTTAAACACAACGATACTTTTATTCTAATCTGTTTATTTCTAAAATCAGATGGTTAGGGATTCAAGATAACATGATGGAAAATCGATATATTCAGGCCTTACCTTAGTAAATCTTGATTGTTTCTATCTCCTTCATCATTTGTTTAATTATAAGTTCTGATATCAGTATGTTCATTCACTTGTCTTAACTTCTGTCTTATTGTATGATGTTGTGAACTGATACTCACCTTTTGTACTACTGCTAATATCTGTGTTACACAGTTGATAAATTTAATGATTCATTTTAAAAACAAAATGAAAATTACGTTTCACATCTACTCACCATCATCATAATTTCCAAAATTTGAATCAGGGGTATATCTATGAAACAAATTATTCGAAGAATAACCTTGAAATATTCGACCAATAGGACCATAAAGTTCTGGAATAACACCAATATAAGGATCGATAGCAATTGTAAGACTTGGTTGAATCCCTAAAAATCCATCTACAATCATTGATAGACCACGTAGAGCTTGGTGATATATGTAGGGTAGGTAAAGACATGTCCATCGAATTCTATCATAATGAGAATATTTTCTAAAAGAAAATAATTTTTTAAAAAAGAAATATGATTGAGACGGTAAAAAATCGATTTTCATTTCCACTCTAACCAGGAATACAAATGGTGCAGAGGCTTATCGTAGTACTGAGGTTGATCGAAACGTTGCACCTGTATATAATCTCTGTATTGTTTATTGGATCGACAAATGTAATGGAACAGTTGGCTAAGCGTATACAATAGAACAAAGTTATGAAGAGAGAAAAAGAAGTCAATATTCATGATGATATAATGATTGTAACAAGCATATTTAGATATAAAAAAAAATAATAATATTCTACAGTGTTTTTATGAATAGGGATCTTTCAAATATCATGCTTATTGCCTTTTACGTGGAAGAAAAAAGTAAGGAAAAAGAGTATAGGGAAAAGACCTTGGTACTGTGGTAGATTGTACTTCCATTTTAGTCTGTTTATTAGAATTGTCATACAGACCTTCTAATGTGTTACCATACAAAGAAGGCATCTCAGAAGTGTTACGACGAATTCCTAGTAAGGCTGAGATTCGAGCAGCATTCCAACCAATAAACTCGCTTAGAAACAAGCTTTATAGGTTTAAAGACACTATTGATTCAGATTAGACAGAATTTAGTTTACTAAATCGCTTGCAATTTGAAAGCTATGTGGAAAGAAACCTGCATAACCATATTAGGAAGGAAGAAGAAAGAAGATAAGGAATGGATCTCCACAGATACATGGAAGCTGATAGAGCAGGGAGAGGAGGATGGTGAAGCAGGAGATAAACCAGTGCAAGGATGAACAGCGAGAAGAGGAACTGAGTACAACGTATAAAACACTAACCTGGACAAAGAAGTGAAGGAGCGTGCGCGGAAAGACAAAAGACACTTCTACGAAACACTTCCAAGTGAAGTAGAACAGGCTGCTGGTAGGGGAGATAGAGACCTGACAACATTGTATCAAATAACCAGGTTACTATCTGAGAGGGAATAGATCAACACAGATGAAACCAATAAAAGATGATGAAGGAAATTTAATTACGAAAGAAGAGAAACAAAGGAAACGATGGGCTGGCCACCTCAAAAAGCTCTTGAATCGACTACCACCACCACCTGCACTTCGTGCACAAATACCACCTACACCCCAGCCACAGAAACACCAGCAAACACAAATCCTCCAACAAAAGTCGAAGTCCTGAACGCCATAAATCCACTGAGATGTGGGAAAGCAGCAGGACCAAATGGAATCCCGCCACAAGCACTGAGAGCAGACGCGGAGACAACAGCGGACATGTTCACACCACTATTGCAGAAGGTCTGGAAGGAAGGGAAGGTACCTGCAGATTGGAAGAAGGGCTACCTCGTCAAACTCTCAAAGAAGAAAGACCTAAGCCTTTGCAAGAATCATGCTCCACTCCTGTCCACCCAGAGCAAGCAAAATATCGGGCTGCATCATCTTGGAGAGACTAAATGATGCACTGGATTCAAACTTACGACCGGAACAAGCTGGCTGGCTTCAGGAAGTACAAATCATGTGCGGACCAAATTGCAGCGCTACACTACGCATCCTCATAGAACAGACTACAGAATGGCAGTCAACTCAACTTCATCGACTTTGAAAAGGCCTTTGACAGCGTCGACCGAGAGCTAATTTGGAAACTGCTTCAATGCTACGGAATACCACAAACCTTTATCAACCTCATTCAACAACTATATGAAGATGATACATGCCAAGTAATTCACAATGGAAAGCTCAGTGATGCTTTTGAAGTGAAGTGAAGATAGGAGTAAAAGAAGGTTGCCTACTATCACCCATGATCTCCCTGATTGTAGTAGACTGGACCATGCAACAAACAGTGAGGAGCGAGAAGAGGGAGATACGCTGGACCACAGAAGAGAACCTAGAAGACTTGGATTTCGCCGATGACCTGTGTCTAATGTCACACAAACTTGAAGATCTACAGGCGAAAACTTACAAGTTGACAGAAGAGGCAGGGCAGAACAGCGAAGACGGGACTTCAAGTGAACGTACAGAAGACAGAGGTGATGAAGATACTCAACCAACAACGACAACAACAAGCTCCAATCACCATCAACGAGAGAAACTTAAAGGAAGTTGTCTCTTTCACCTATCTAGGTAGCACAGTTTCAACTACAGGCGCCACAGGCACACACGAGGACGTCAAAGCAGCCAGGATAGGAAAGACAGCAAGACAGGAGTTCATTAGCCTGAAACCATTGTGGAGATCTGCACTCAGCACAAAGCGTGAACAAGATCCGGATTTTCAACACCAACGTCAAGTCAGTGCTTCTTTGTGATGGTTGAGAGACTTGGTCCGTTACGAAAGGCATTTCCAACAAACTACAGACATTCATCAACAACTGCCACCTACACTGGCTCGTTACTGAAGATCAGATGGCCAGAATAAAAAGAATAAGCAACAACGAACTGTGGGAACGAACCAACCAAGAACCTATCACCCAACAAATATGCTCTGGAAGGAAGTGGAGATCGATTGAGCATACACTGAGAAGGCTGACTGGGGATATCATACGCCAGGCACTCGAGTGGAACCCAGATGGGAAGCGACGAGTTGGGCGTTCTATCTGAGGGTGACATGGAGGAAATCATGCGAGGAGGAAATGAGAGCTTGTGGGCTGTCGTGGAACCAGGTTCAAGTAACTTCAGAGAACAGAGTGCGCTGGAGACGTGCTACTGAAGCTCTATGTTCCATTAGGAACCCAAGGGATAAATAATAATAATAAATCCCTTGCAATGACTGTGAGGTTAAATACATAGATCAAAGTAGTCGACTAGGGTCAATTAGAATGATAAAGAATAAAAATTTAGCTAAATCAAGATTAAAAGGTCCTAATAAAGTAAGAAATTTAGAAAAAAAACTCGACTATAGCTATGCACCTAATTGTATACTCACACAACAGGGTGGGATAGAGCTACAATATTAAAACTAACTTAGTTGGGTGGAGGGAGAGATTGATAACCAAATCTTTGTTTATCGAATGAGTACCAAATACATGCAATAGTAATGATTCTACACCTGTCTCAGATATACAGAAAATATTACTACCCTTATCACAACGAAAAAAAGAAGACTATAACTACATAAACCATGTCTCAAAGTTATAGAGTTACGTGATATGAATATGGACAATAAATCGTATTCGAAATGTAATCCAGTGAATAATGCTGTTTCACTGTGTAACAATTAGAATAAACAGACTAAAATGTACAGACAAAGAGGATCAGAAGTTTATGATGATCACGAAAGAGTGACTGTACTTCCAGTGTGCAGCTGACTGATAGATACACTAAGGCTGATAACACTAACATCTAGAGAGAAAAACTGAATCATAGAAGACTGACAAAGGTATTCGTTGAAAACTGGTTACACATCAGACTTCTCTTGAAGTATCTGTCTTTATGAGTTCATTATGTCCTCTAAAGAACCTCATAGCAGGTAACGAAAGCTACCAGATAGTTAGAATGTGAATAATGAGATATGTTGGATACTTGAAGCAAATATCCCACCGCTGTCATATGTCAGTAAAAGCAATGTGACAACACGGTCCACAGACCCGACGTAAAGTATTATAATATTTTACACTATAACACCAGCATTTTCAGCCTTAATATCCTTTAATTTACTTTTCTGGGATGGTGGGGTTTGACATGACAAGCCATCAAGCCAATTTGAATCAACTGAGTCAATGAGATAAACAATTTGCACCACGATATCAAGATTTCAGTTGTTGACTAAATGCAGGGAAGCAATAACATGATTATCACTAGTTTCTCTTCACAGTTGTATTTGGTGTGTACTTAAGTGAGAGCTATTTCGACTCGACACAATGAACTATTATGCAAAACAACTACACCTTATCAACAAAGCGACCATTCCAGTAATTTTCAGGTTAATTTGTATAAGAATCACAGTTGATAAGACTGTAATCTAGTTGATTTCGATAAAACACCAATACATACTGCATTTAACGCACAACTACTGGAAAGTGTTTCTGTGAATTCCTAAACTTTGGTTGCTCACTTTACACGATTCATTAAGAAATAAAAAATTCCTTTGAGTTTCAAAATCGTACTAGTGAGCAGTAGTATACTGAGTAGTAGTCATGGATTACAGAGAAAATAAGCCACTAGTAGATAATGATGGCATCGCAGCACTCTTTCATAAAATGAAATAACTTTCAAAAATCAGATATTCGGGTTCTAATGTAACTCGATGAACTGACAAAAAAATTAACGAATGAACTGAAAGTGGTAACGTAATCTAATATACCAAGAAAGGAACTTTTTATCGGTGATCCACCACAGTACTTAGTACTGTGGATAAGTCAAGAACTGGGAATAGATTTGTAAACAGGTAAATATGCAAATATTCTTGCACTTTTGACTAAGAAAACTAATTAATTGTGATTGATAGTGCATTATATAACAGACAAGATCAACATAAAAATCAGCACATCAAGTGAGAGAGCATTAAAATGACAGAGGAGAAAGCAATCACTGGTAGAAAGTCGTGATAAGATAACGAGGAATAAGGAAACGATTAATTCAGCATGACAACTAAGGTGTAGAAACAACTGTACTATTGAGATCGATTCTGAGCCATGTCATCGAGGCTCTAATCACTAGTTTCTGTTGTTACATGGACCCCAACCTGGAAGTCCACATTTCTTATATGACTCAAATTAATGGTCAAAGATTTCATCCACTGATGTCATGTTTCAGCTGAACCACCTCTAACCTTTTCTGAGTCTGAACCCACTTCATCTAAGATTGCACGACAGGACAGGCGTTACACATGTCCCAGCTACCTGAATTGATGAAGGCTCACAACCTTACCAACTGACTTTCCTTTCCTCCCTACAACTCTCCACCTGACTTCTACATTACTGACGAAGTGAGAACACGATACATGGCCTTGGCTAAGAATGCAATGGTGATCGAACACTTGAAGCCCTTTCATATCTTCTACCTCCCCTATAGCCAAGTTCCATATCCATATAGTGGGACAGACGGAACTGCAGCACAGAACACTCGACCTTTAATAAACAATCAGATATCACTGTGGCGCTATAAATATTGTCAGTTGGCGAAAGCCAAGCGAACTTATATATAACAAAGGGAACCAAAGTTGGTGCAACTTACTTATACTCTTCAAAAATTGGTGTATTACATATTACCCGCTCATGGCTCAAATCTACAGGATTACCAATCAAATAAAGTGTACGAATCCAAGCTTCTTTTACATTTTCATTCGGCATATCGGATGGAATTGATTGGGTCGAAGGGATAAAAGCTACAGAAACATAGAAGGGTTGAATAAAAGAAAGGCAATATATATCTCATGGAAAGTGGTGTTCACCAAAACTGACACATCAATTCAATCAACCAATCAATCAATATCAACATAGGACCAGGTATTACTGAGTAACGGTCCGAGTTGTCACAGCTCATATCAGTACATCAAATAAAAAGGCAGTGAAGTGAAGGATGAAGATAAGTGAATGCAGTCAAAAGAAATATAAAGTACGAGAAGAAAGGAAAGAGGAGTGACAAAATGGTGAGATTCGGTATAGCGTTGTTAAGATGAGGATAATGTGTGTATACATCTGCGCCACTGACATCGGTTCTGGGCCATATCACCTAGGGTCTCCAACCACTGGTTCCTCTTGTCCCGTGGACCCCAACCACCTAGTCTGCATTGCCCAACATGACTCAAACCAACAGTCAGAGACTTCATACATTGGTGCCATGTTTTAGTCTGGCCACCTCGGGCCTTTTTCCAGCCTGGACCCACCTCAGCCAACATTGTGTGACGAGGCAATCGGTGACTAGGCATACGTAACACGTGTCCCAACCATCTCAGTAGATATAGGTTCAAAACCTCGTCAGCTGATTTACCCCCACTCCCTAAAACTCTACTCCTGACTTATGCATTACTCACGTGGCGACAATACGGAATATGGCCTATACTACGAAGGCAACGGTGGTCAAACACCTGAAGCCTTATCACATCTTCCACCTTCAATGGCCATGTTTCACAGTCATACAGTAGAACAGAGCGGACTGCTGTGCAGTACATGCGACCCTTAATAGACAAACGGATATCATGGCGGCGCCACAGGTGGCGCAAATCGGCAAAAGACAATCGAGCCTTTTGTATCCGTGCAAAGATTTCATCGGCAACTGACCCACCAGGGCTGATCCTACTTCCCGGGTAAGTGAAGTGGTCAACACATGCAACCACCTCACTCTGTATTGTTAGCCGCGGCACTGCTGAAGACCAGTCCTGGAGCAGAAATTTGTATTTAAGTGGTGAGAACCGCGTCCCAAACATTCTCGAATTCCCACTCGAAGTGTTCAGAAGACTCTGAATCTTGTCAGCGCCCTCACCTAACAACAGGACTACGTCATCTGCATATTCTAGGTGTAACGAAAATTCTCCTGTAATTAGGTCAACGTCTGTGTAACCTGGTGACGAGAGGGAGACCTCCATAAGAATATCTATGATGAAATTGAATAAGAATGGAGAGAGTGGGCATCCTTGACGGACACCACTCAATGAGTATAGCTCCCTGGACAACTCACCATAGGTTCTGACATGCCCACAAATGTTTGAGTAGATAGCTTTCAATAAGGTGATGTACTTACTAGGCACGCCTTTCAGTGACAGACATTACTGTTCCTGAGCTCCACTCAGGTGTCGAAGAATTATAGAACCTAGAATCTTAGACACTATGCTCGTCAGGCTGACTCCTCACAAGAGGACTTCTCGCCTTTCTTGAAGACTGGAATGATCAGTGACTTAGACCAGTCAGAGGGGATCGTATTTGATTCCCATATACTACCTAACACTTCCGTTAACCTGACTAAGAGCACTCTACCACCATCCTTGTATACCTCAGGAGTTAGTCCGTCTGGTCCTGCTGCCCTACCTTCTTTCAGGTTACCTACTACTTTCTCGACTTCTTCTAGTGTTGGGGGACCTATCTATATGTCCCATTCAGGATCCGACTGGATAGCGGGCAACGCAATCATGGCTGGAGGCCAGTTAAACTGTTCCTCAAGTGTTCTCTCCATCGTTCCAGTCGTCTCCCCTGCGAGTGAATCGCAGATCCGTCCTTCTCCGCTATAGCCTCACTAACTGTAGTTGACCATTTCCCCCAGTCTCCTTAATAAGTCTAAATAACTGTCTACTGTTACCGATCGCCGCTGCCTTTTCCATCTCTTTAGCCTTCGCTGCCCACCACTGTTCACGATCGTTGCGCAGACTTTTCGTCAGTCTACTTTTAAGTTGCGCTCGCTCTTCATTGTACTCAGAGCCTGCAGGGATGCATTCACGTGCATCCATTAGTTTGGAAGAAGCTGCTGATATCCACTGGCTCTTTTTAGCCATTATTTTGGAGTCGGCTACAGTCTCCAGTGCTGCTTTTACAGTAGACTGAAGATGGCACCAAGCTTCTTCTGGATGAGTGACAGTCTTTTGTTCCGATAACTGCCTAGCCAACTTCTCACTGAACACGGCTTTGGTGTTTTCGTTGTCCAGCAGAACTCGTAGTGGTTTTGTTGCCAAATTTTTTCTACGTCCATTGAGACGCAGGCATATACGTGCTCGGACCAACGCATGATCGCTGTCCAAACACGTACTCCAGAAGGAGCGGCAGTCTTCCACCGATCCTCTCCAGCGATGACTAATAGCAATGTGGTCTATCTGTGTCCATCGCTGAGTCGAGCTCGGTGGACGCCAGGTCAGACAGTGCCTTTCTTTATGTCTGAAATTGTGCTGGCTAAAAATAGGCGGTTATCTGAGCATAGTTGTAATAGGCGATCACCGTTATCTGTACGTTCAGCTGGGATTCCGAAAGTGCCACCTAAGTGCCTTTCTGCCTCACTCAGTCTACCCACCTGTGCGTTGAGGTCACCTGCAACAACCACTACGTCCGAACGTTTGGCTTTCGAGAGGAGGTTAGACAGTTTATGGTAGAACTCGTCCTTCACTTCATCCGAACTGCAGTCAGTGGGTGCGTAAGCAGAGATTACAAAGAGACAACGGCGAGTCTCACTATTCCTTTTAGTTCTCACTGTGCCGTTCAGCCTCATAGCGCAGAGGCGACTATCAACTGGGATCCAGTCTAGTAGTGAGTTTTCTGCCCTGGTGCTTAATGCTATACCTACACCTGCAAGACCACGAGAGCTAGCTATCGAATCTCCAGAAACTCGAAGGGTGAATTTTGCGGATTCACCAGATTGGTCAGGAGAGGTCAGGTGAATAACCACACTTGGGTCCTGTATGCGTGTCTCACAAACACAGCACACATCCATGCCCGAGTTGCTAGAGTCTTTGCTAACGAAGCCTGTTGGCCAATTTGACGGAGGGTGCGGACATTGAAGGCTCCAATATGTAATTTGGAGCGTGGTTTAAGGAGACCAGGGATGCTGTTCTGTGGACTCAGATCGTTGTCGAAGGCTGCAGAGGTAGGAGAAATTGAAGATGATGCAGCATCATTAATTAAGAGACGTGAAGGAAGATTAGAAGGTAATGATGGAGGAGGAGGATAGCAGTCAGAAGAAACTTGGGTGCTGACAGAGTTGTGAGGGCGGTTGACACTTCCCGGCTGCCCACACCGTGGAAGGCTATTTCTTCTTAAGGTACCTGAAAGAGATTTGTGTGACCGCAGAGCCCATCGGACATCTGCTTGAGGCCTGTCACACCCAGCCTTTTGAGTATGATTATTTTGAACTTTTGTATTTTTGGGGCCGGATGGTCGAAAGGAAACGACAAGTGAACCAACACCGCCGGCCCGGCAGACCGTGGGGCGTGGTGGAGTGTGTTATTTTTGGGGCCGACCTTTTCTAACCCCCCCTTCCACTGAGAAGGCAGCATCAGCATGGCACTGCTGGTCATCCAAGGGAAACACCTTACTGCTGTCACACCCCATCCAGCTAGCAGCAGTACGACTTCGCCCTCAGACCCCCATCATAGTGTAGCAATTTACACTATAACGGTAACTGCTTTTCGTCTAACCACTACCCAACAGACCTTTCTGGTATGGTAGGACCTCGAGGGAACAAGCGTTCCACCAGCATAGCTCGTTGGGTCATTGTGATATGCAAGTCCGACCATCACGTCGAGATAGCAGCTATCGATAGGCGAAAACTATTACAAAAACAAGTTTGTTTTTTACTGATGCTTCACTATTTAGCTCTAATAGCTTCATCAAAGTAAACGCAAACCGGAATCTACAATATACAACCTCATATATGTTGACTCGATAAAATTTCTTCTGTTCGAAAATGATAAAAAGTATGTATAATGTGTTAAGTGTGTGAATTACAGGTTGAAGTTTGTATGTGCACATGTGATTACAGTTCTTCTTACAAGTGTCTTGGTCATATTAATTTGTGGAGATGAGAAGAGATCAGATCAATTTACATTTGATTTCTTCATTCCTATTTCGACAACTTTCATTCCACTTTGTGTGCAGAGACTCCGCAATAAGACGTTTCTGACAGTGCATAAACCCTTCCAGATAGTCTCAGTAGTGTTACAGTTTACTCTGTAACCTGAAATGATAACATGTAGTGCTATGGTTGAAATGTTCTCAAGCTTTTTGAGAGCTATGGGACTTCTAAAAATCGACTGGAAGCGCTTCAGTGTTCATTTTTTTTCTAAATTTGGTTTCATGAAAAGTCTGTCTTATGTAGACTGAATCGCAGTTCTCAGCATTTTTATAAACATAATTAGATTGTGAATCATGGGGAATTTTGTCTTCTATATGGACTGTAGTGTTCTGTAGCATGGTTGATGTTCAGCAGAACATTCTGATATACTATTTGCTGAGGACTTTCCTAAACTTATCCAAAGTATGTGACATGTAAAGGATACCTACTGTCGTAGCCCATAATTTGGGAATGCTACTTTTGAGGTCTAGTTGAATATCATTTTCGAGTGTGAGAACAAAGTTTACCGCATAATTTTTCATTTTACGGATCTCGATCAGACTTAAATTCCTTCCCTTTTTCATTGTGTCATTAGCTATCAAAGATCTTTGAACTAATGATGTTCGATGGGCTTTGTTGAAATTAGTCATATCTAAATATCTATTAGTATTCTACCTAACTAGAAAATAAAATAAGGGAAGTTCATCGTTATCCGATTCTGTTGCCTAGCTAAAACTGATGCTTGGGGATCTAATATTCAAAACATCTTTCAAGAATGCTTAGTTTAGGTCACATTTCAGAACAACGAATGGATAATAAACAAATCTTAATGAAATTTTCGAACCTGGTCCAAGTGCAAATGAACTTTCTTCAAACTTACAAATAGGTTGGCTACTATGAGTGACACAGGCGAACTTGTAGCCACACAGTTGGTTTATCCGGGTGGTTTCCCATCAATTATCAAGTACCTATTTCCTTCACATGAAATAAAAATTATCTAAATAGGTATGAAGGAATTAAATGCAACTTGACTAGATTAGCTCTCACCCTACAAACTGATATAACCAGCACAGTTGTGAGAAGAAGAATGTATGTGCAAACTTCAATCTGTAATTCACACATTAATCACCTGACAATGCAGAATTATTTTGATCAACGTGACACACATGAGCTTGTAAATTGATAATTCCAGTTAATTATTACTTTGATGAAGCTATTAGAGCTAAAGAGAGAAACGTCAGTAACTGTAAAATACACTACTGAACAACTTGAGTAGTTAACAACCACTCAAGCTAATTTTTAGATTTCGTCAGTCAGACCAGAATAGACTATAAACGCTGGACGGCCGTTTCGCCTATTTGAGGTTGAGCTCATCAGCGGTGTACCCAGACAAACTCAGACTATAGAGCCGAATGCGTTCGGATCACCTGAATCTGGCTAGCTAACTTACATGAACCGGTATGTCTATAACAGAATGATCAATTTGCGAATGATTTACAAGTTGCGCGGTCGACGTTTCTCACAGCTGAGTAGGTTTACAACTACCAAACTGTGGTGTCAACAGGATTTCTGTTGGAAACCAATAAGCCAAGACCACAAGGTGTAGGATCTTTAACACAAAAGTGTCATGAATAACCTTGGTTTTTGCCTTTCATTCACTGGGAAATACAAATACCAAAATAATGAATGAACATAATTTACCTAACACCCAAACCTTTTCCAAACCATCACTCACAACTTGGTTTGGACATCAAGATACAAAACAATGACCAATATCAGTGTCAAAGAGTCTTTATAACCAGATTCAAGCAGATGGTTACTGAAGCATGAGATTAAGTGAAACTTGGAAATCTCTCCTTAAACATCCGATGAACATGCAACTCACCTATGTCTCTAACTTCATGTGTTTTCGAAAACTATTCGCTCTTAAATGGGCCTAAATTCATCCTCTACAGTAATGCTGATTTCCACAGCTTATAGGCTAGTCACCAACAGTACTCTGAAACCACACCTCTAACTGGTTACTAAAGACTAGCATAGTTAGTTTAAGCCTAATCCAGCAACATATATTCCTGTTCATAACCTTGTTAGTCTTTCTATTATGAATATACAAAGCGTTCCCCAAGGATGTAGGAGTCCAAGTAATGTCTTCATTACATCAAAAGCCAATGATCTCCATTTACCAAAGCCCACTTTTCAGATAGGCGCATATTTGATGACTTAGAAGTAATAATGGAAGGAATCTTTCTTGGGAGAAGTTGACGGGATAACATCCAGCGATAATACTTATCTAGAGGCAGTCTAATGAATGATCAAACCTTTTGAAATAAGACATCCCTTTTAATCCCCGAGTATCAATCTGAGGTGATAAATGGTGGAATATATTTTCTGATAACCTTTTAATACATGAAGAAATGCAAGTATTTGTGATGATGTCTACCTATCTCAAGAGTTTTACTTCAGTTTTTGACTCAGCTCCATGTTCCGGGTCGGAACACCGTCTGACGTGGATGTCAATATCCGAAACCTGATGAATCGGTCCCCTCATACAGCATGAAACATCATCGCAACGCTGCCATATGAAAACGAACACTTCTGCAAGAGCATTCTGTTAATGCTCCCACAAGACTGGTCAGTGTAATCACAAAACCGGTCGTCGGGCTTCAGAGTATCTACATTCAGCGAGTAATCGGATCGTTTGACCACATCTACCCCTCTATGAATAGACGTCCATGGAACGCGTCTTAACGAGTTTCCACAATCTTCTAGACGAGATGTAGTTCACCTTTCCTAGAGACTTTCCTACCCCCTCAGCACATCAATCCAACTTCAGAGGCTCACCCAAGGCTGGAGTAAACGACACCCGGCATTTGGAACCGATTATCCCTCACTTTCGCAAGGTGAACCAAACGCCTTCTCTAAGGACCACTTCAACAGCAGCAACTACAGGAATTAGGAAATTGTATTCCCTTACTTTTCGGTTGCACCGCTACTAGATCACTGAGCGGAGTCCAGACGGTTAGCTAAGCCAACCGCGTTTTGAAGACTCACACCACTGATCTGCGTACATGAATATCATCGACGGCGTTTGCCGTTAAGTCAACTCCAACGGTAGATTGGTTGATATACAGGGGGGCCACGTTGAGGCTCCCTGTCGTTGCGTAGCTAGGCATGACTCGTAATCACCGGTCTACATCCGTGCTCCGGTTTTCCAGACCACCAGCACAAACGCTAACACCACCTAACCGCACTGTATAGAGCCTTTTCACGTTGATGTCCCGGCACTTAACTATGGAGGAGGCATTTGATTGCCTAAAGAAAGTCATAGTTTCTGTCTACCTCACTAATAGGATACCTGACTGACTTCCTCTTTTCTCACTGGTTTACTTTCCAATAGCGACTGTATTAGTTAAAATTAGTATAAAATGACATCTGAACTGCTTTTGATCACAGTATCCTTCAGTGTCTCAATGTGGATGATTTCTGTTTCCGGTCATCTTGATAACAAGAAAACAGGAACAATTAAAAAAATACGAAATACACGAAAAGCAAAATTGCCAAAGACCTATAATAATAATGAACAAGTACAATGATAGTTTATGAGAACAAAAGAGAAAGACATTGAGAGAACTCATGTGATTTAAAGTTTAATTCTTGTGTATACTCACTAGTTTGTTTACTAACTGAGCAGTAAATTGAACAAGTAAAATACTTTTAGAACTTTTGCTCAAATGATGTGTTCTATAAATTGAACTACATGGGTACAAAATATATACAAATTTGTGCAGTAAACACTGCGATTTCTTGCAGCTAAACAGCTTTTTAACCTCTTAAACGTGAGTACATAGTTGATGAGCTTTTTGTTAAATAGTCCAATCACTTTAGCCTGACTAATGATACAGAATATTAAGTTTTGAGGGGGCTGTGGAGATTTGGAAATATTTCAAGTTGTTATTCATCGAAGGTCGCGGTTTCGATCCCTGGTGGTGCGGTGTCGTGGGTGCGCACTGCTGAGGAGTCCCATACTAGGACGAAACAGCTGTCCAGTGCTCCCAGGTTCCCTTTTTTCCTCCAACTGATGTCAGTCTTCGATGAATAACAACTTGAGAATATTAAGTGTCTAACCGTCATATAATAAAGTAGTATATGTTGTCAACTACACTATACTGAATGATGCGAACAGTTTGTGTTCTCTTCAACCTCAAATGTATAAAATATTTCCAATGAACAGACTTCTGCTATCCACGGTGATAATTGTCGACAACTCTATACCAAATTCCTTAAAAAGAATATCTTTTGTTCTACAAGAATACTGATAAAAAAACCTCATCTGTTCTAGTCAAACTAGCCAACATTTAAAAAACATAAAAATGGATTGAAAACCAAAATGGATCAGTTAAAATACCCAGTGGAAAAGTATATTTATTTATAATCGTGCTGGAAAAAACCCAGTAAACTGGACAAACTTAGCACCATTGATTAACTCATAGTATAAGAAATCTCTGGAACTAATCGTACTAATCCAAATGCCTCATTAATGTTTCATCAAAGCACAAAAATACTGGTGTAACAGTCAATTAGGGAAAAAATAGATAAAAAGTGGTTGGGCAACCGCACCCAGATCCTTGCGCTGTAATAAAATAATGTAACTCATCTATGCGTTAAAATGCTTGTGTATTGGGTTAGGAGCTACAATTATTGTTTAATTGTTTATGATGATACCTGATAATCCATGCCAAAGTAGATGGATCAGAAGTTGAATGCCGAACTCATTCAAATAATTCAACCTATAAGACATAGCTCTACTAAGCTATCAGTCACACTGATTGTATGGGGACTGATCCTTTCCACCTCAGTTGAAGGTGAATTCCAAAACAATGATCCAGTGGTTAGAGTTTAATTTCTTACGCTCTCTGTTTCTCTCACATACACAAAGATATATATATATATATATATATATATATATATATATATATATATATATGGGCGATAGATAAATAGATTACCAGGTATTTCGATGTTCTTGTTAATTATGCCAAGTAAAGCAATAGACAGTTCAACAGAAAGGCGAGACCAATGTTGGATAAATGCATAGTGATGTCGCCATACTTTTGCACACTCTTTGAATGCAATCCAGAGTTGGGGTTTTGGAAAACAATAAATACAAGCTTTCAACCAAGTACTGAATAACATTTTCGAGATACAATCTGAAGTAGTTGAAAGTATAACAGATGGCTCTTTGCTAATACGAAGATCTGAAAAAACTGGTTACAGAGTTAGGTCCACCAACAGTTCCTGCTCCAGAAACGGAAGCACTCGTCAACTGAGAAGCTGCCATAGACGATGAACTAACTGATGAAGAATGAGACAATCCTGACGGTAAATATAAGGGAGGTGATAAAACAGAATGGCATACAACTAAACAAAATCGTAATATACAATCCCAACAGTCAGGTGATAATCGACCAGGTGTCGAACACAAATCTTCAATTGTTTGAGCCACCAGTTTTGTGATATCTAACTGCTTATTGAGTAATCCTGATAAATGCGCCAATTCAGTGCCTGAAAACCAATAGGGGAAAAATTACGAAAAAACATTTCAGTGCAATGAAAAATATACACAGACAAATTGTTGACTTGTCACTAAACAATAACCAATATCATATTGTCTAATCCTGAATGTAGACCGAATTCTACAGATCATTTTGTAAGGATATGTCAGTTGGGTGGGGACAATCAGCAGGAAGCCCGGAACATAGCAATAGGCGGTGCTTCTCCGTATCTCACAGGGGACATTAGTTCCCTTCAGGTTACAGATACGCTTTATTGAAGAGTCCCAACAAGCACAAAACACAGGTCCAGAGCTCTCCCTCTTTGCCGATTACTTCTATCCAGCTGACAGAAAACGTGTAAAAATCTGAACTATAAACACAAGTAATAGTATCAATACATAAATATTGAAAGCAGAAGATATGAGAAGGCTTCTGGCGTCTGACCACCGCTACCTTCTATCATAGGCCGTGTTCCCTAGTATCAATGCGTGACCAACGCAGAAGTCGGCAGCTTTAGGCAAAAGAGGTAAGACAGTTGATGCCGTTGTGAACCTTCATCAACTGACATCCATGGCTGCGACATATGTTACGTAGACCCAACCACCACCCACCATCTCCCTCGTCACACAATCTTCGTCGAAGTACGTTCAGCCTGGAAAAAGGCCCGTAGTGGCCAGACTAAAACATAGTATCAATGCATGAAATGCTTGACTGCTCGTTCGAGTCATGTAGAGTGGTGCAGACTAGCCGGTGAGGGTCCACACGACAAAAGAAACCTATGGTTAGAGACTCTAGGTGATATGGCTCAAAATCGATGTCAGCGGTGTAGATGCATACACACATTATCCTCATCTCAACATCTTATTCTTCCTTCCTCTCTTCTACTACTTTCTACTTCTACTTCCTTAGAACGATTTTTCTTTCCTTCATCATCTTCCATTTTATTGCCTTGTTACTTGATGTGCTGATGAGGTATGGGAACTTGAACCGCTACGCAGTAATTCCTGGTCCTATGTTGACCCGGATGATGATTATGAAAGGAAGCTTACATCGTATTGGTTGTACTTTCCAAAAATATAAGGCAAGTGAAAACTATATAGTCACTACTGGTTTTAACTGTAAGCCTCTGAGTCATATGATCTCTCGGATCCCCCAATTCAGGGAATTTTGAGGCGTTAACAGATGCCAAACCGACACAACCACCCTTAAATCCACTATGCTTGTGATACACTAATCACGTCCCCACTTTTTTTAACCAGTCCCAAGACTGGAGTTATCAAGAAAAGAATTCCATACAGCATATTTCATACAGACAGCTTAATAGATAAGATAATTACAGGATCCATTACTAACCACTAGTCTCATCTGTAAACAAAGTTATTACCAACTTTCCAGAAGTTCCAAGTGGCATTTACTATATACATTTAACCCCAAAATGGTATGCGGACAACATACTAATGGTTACTTATTGTAATTTAACTATTTTTTGCACTCACTCACAGTTTTATCGACGCAAAATCTGGTGGTAAACGAAACGTTAATATCAACTGTCTCCTCTTTTGACTTCACTTCTTGACACTAACATTACACTACCTATGTCTTCTTCAACCCCACACACTGCGATCACATTGGAGGTCTCAACGTCCAAACTTTATGCCAGGTCGGACAGCAGGCATCGCTTGGCAAGACTAGAATTTCGAGTCATGGATGTATGCGGTGTCTGAGACAAGCATACAAGATACGGGTGTAGCCTCACATGGCCAATGCAGTAAATTCCCGAAATTCACTTAACGATTGTCCGGAGATTTAATGGCTAGTTCTCATCGACTCTAATGTAGCGTGGTATTATGTTCTCCAACAGAAAACGCATTTTTCAACTGCATACCAATCAATCTATGTGCTGTTCGACTCAAAGGATCTGTAAAAACTAGGAGCTATGTGAGACTTGCAAACACCTATTCGTAATCTCTACCTAGCCCCCCCCCCCCTCCCACCGACTCCAATTAGGATGACACGAAGGATGAACTCCACCAAAGCTGTTAACTATCCTACATAAATCAAAACGTTCAGATATAGACGTATTAGCAGGCAACTTCAACACAAGTACGAGGTCTTTGTCAACTGGAAATGTATCCTAGAGGTATCTATAGGATCTCACGCCAACAAACTGACAACGCGGGTCGTCTCTTTCACTTTTGTTCTGACAATCACTTGTTTCTGGACAGCACTGAATTCAAGTTTAAGGAAAAACACTATCTCACATGAAGTTCACCGACACCAAACCAACGATGAACACATATAGGTCATGTAGCCAAAAGACAACCGATTTGCACTCTAACCACGCGTTAGTACAGGCACGTGTATGTCCGTGCCCTACCGATCACAGAAAACAGGCGGAAATGATTCCTCGACTGGAAGATGAGAACATCAAGTACGTATTTATGGAGGAGATGGCTAAGCATTTATCTGAATATCACAGCAATCCTCATCCTGATGAAGTTTGGTATGACATTCAATCTGCTGTAGAAATAGCAGCAAGAACAGTTGGTAACCGACATCCTAAGGTTAGGAAACGTTAATGGATTTCCACAATCTCATCAAAAATGATTGATGAAAGAACACTCACTCCAGCTGGCTCTGACCACTATGAGGAGCGAAAACACCTCAGTCATATGCATTCAGTAACCTTTTGCAGGTTCCTTCAGTCGACAATTAGCCACGCCTATGGTTTCAGGGTTAATGATACTACCTGGCTGACCAAACTTCGGCAGGTGGGGCAGTGTTAGAAGTTCTATTCCATTGAACGAAAGTTAAGTGCCTAGATCAATGAACCACAGGTCAAACGCAAATTGAATAAAAGTCTTTGCAGTGGTCATGATCAGTGGTGAAAACGAGAGAGATTAATAAGGCATCAGCATGAGGTAACACCCGGTAACTATTTATGCTTATTAAGGACACCGGTAAGAAGATGATGGTTAGTGAAGCCATTGCCGACAAAGATGGTCACCCTGACAATCTCTCAGGACAGACGGCTAGAACGTTGGGCAGAATATTTTGAAGAACAGCTAAACTAGCCTTCAGTCAAGCTTTAGTTGCCCAGCATCATGTTAAAACCTGAATGTGACATAGATGTCGGCCCTCCAACTCTCCTCGAAGTTGAGAAAGCTGCTTCAAACCGAAAATGACGCAAAGCACCAGGATCCAATGGCTTGCCACCAGAAACCTTTAAGGATAAAGGTGGAAAATTACTGAGAAGAATAACGAGAGTACTAGTTAGCGTACGTAAATCAGAGGTAGACCCGTTAGGCTGGTCTACTTCACTCATCACTCCAGTCTATAAGAAGGGAGAGGAGTCTTCCTGTGACAACTACAGGGGAATCAGTTTGACTAATGCTGTATCCAAGATCCTTGGTCCCATAGTTATTCGACGCCTAACTGGAGATCGAAAACAGCAAACTCGAGAAGACTGTGAAGGCTTCAAGCTTGGAAAAGGGTGCATTGATCAATTTTTCACCCTTCGACAAGTTATGAAACATAAACTTACTTACCGATTGCCAGCACTAGTCATATTTCTTGACCTGAAGGCCGCATTTGACCCTGTCAACGGTGATGTGTTGTGGAAGTGTCTGACTGTGAAAGGAGTACCGAGTAAGTTACACTAATCAAATATCTTCACTCAAACACAGACGTGTAGAGGCTTATGGAGAGTTTTCATTTGAACTAACGATAACTGGCTTTGTCCGCCAGAGATGCCCACTGTCAACATTCCTGTTCAACTTCATTATATATGTACTAAAAGACATAACCTTAGGTATCTCTGAATTCACATAGATTCATTTACTCCCTAGAGTGATTCTGGTTGACTTGAACTACACAGAGGACACTGTCCTGCTGGGTTAAAACACTGTCAGAATGCAGTCCTCTGAATGCTTTGAGCGGGATATGTTTGGCATGCATTTTGCACCCGTCAAATGCAAGACGATGCTCCAGGGCTGGCCTGTTCCAGCTGCTCCGAGTTTAAGGATAGGCAATGAAGTGGTGGAATGCGCCGACTGCTTCATCTACATGAGAAGTTGCATCACCTCGAATGGGCTACTCGTGGAAGAAATCTCGGTTCGGATACGAAAGGTCCGTTCGGCATTTGCTAACTACCATCGTCTCTGGTGCCGATTGAAGAGATATTCGACTACCTATCAAAGAACGAGTATATGAGCTGTAGTCCATCCTGTTCTGTTATACCGCTGTGAGACATTGAATGTAAAAGATACCAAGAGATCACAGGCTTTTGAACACGCACGTCTTCTTAGCATTCCTTGTGTATGATGGAATCAATGTGAGCGACGTAGAGGATATGTAAAAAAGCAATAGACAAGGAAGGAAAGGCGGATAATGAGGTCTCGAACTTTCAGACTGAGTGGCTTGGATATATATATCTTGCGCATGCCGAGTCAGCAACCGTATCGTCGCGCAATGCTAGGAGAAGTTGGATAAGGCAAGAAGGCTGAGGGTGATTAGACAGGACGTTTTTCTATTATATGAAGTCTCTATTGGTCTGACCCGTATTAGGAAGTGCAAACTGCCTGGTTAGGTTCCCCGAGACGATAGGGATCAATGGTTGCAGACCCCTGGTAAAACCGCTGAAAATCGGTTATAATGACGTAGATATATTCACTCCCTGACGTTTTTTAAAGCTTGAATGTTCTGACCAACCTTCATTTTTTAAGTTTTGTCGCTTCGGATACTTTGAGATCCATCATTTTCTAGCCACTTATTTCCTGTGAAATGTAGTGACTTGAACCGTTGCACTTCTGCGTGAAATTCCAAGTTGATTTTGTCTGTTTATCTGAAATGTACATACTGGTAAAATCGACTTTACATCTCGATTGCAACAATATATAGATGACCAACACCGTTGCCAAAGGAAATTGTTAATTCAAAGAAAAAACAGATCTTGGGAAACCAACAAGTTAGTTAAAATCAGTTTATGAATAACCTAGAGAATATAAAATACACTAACTCAACTAAGTGACCAAGTAGATAAAACATGGGATAAAGACTCAATCATCAAACCTGTGGAGGCATGTGACACTTCTGATGAGTCGGTACTGACAGAGTATTGTGGGACTGGTAAACTTTGACCCAATGTTGTGAACATCACCTTCGGTTGATCACTTAACGGTTCGGTATCACGTGGAAGAAAATAGTAAACCAAAGAGAATAACAAGGATTTTAGAAAACGTAATGGCTGTTTTTGAAGAATCAATGGGATTGGTGGTGTCGGACTGCCTGATTGTGAAGGACTTGTAGAAGAGTTGAGAGATTTAATCCAATAACAATAAATATGTGCACTGTGTTTAACAACATCCCAATTATCAGGTGACATTGTCAATCCATAAGTGATAGCCTGTATGGGTGAAAATATCATTAAAAAAACTCGACATCAATACAAATTTGAGTATGTTCAGTCTTAATTCAAAGTAGAATGATATATCTGTAGGGGTCTTTAAGCCATCAGTGAATAAAGTGAGAAATATTTTTCTCTGCAGATCACGTTTCATGGTTTCTTCGGAATATTTCAAATCGAAAAGTGAACTGGAAACAAATTTAACCACCTACTTGATAGATGAGAGTTAGTGAAGTTGTCGCTCATTGATCTAAGCACTCAACTCAACATCAATTAGTCATGGGTTCAAAATTCACCCCACCTACTGAGGTTTGAACAGCCATCACTTGAAAGTCGCGGCTCACCGCCAAATCCAATAACCAACACACTCCAGTCGAGTTGTATTCATCAAATGTAAGTGGATCTAATACATTTTATCGTTTTTTTTTTATACATCTTGTCTTGGTACTCAAAAGTAATCACGTCTGTTAACAATCAGATGAGGAACTGATCTGTAGGTGAATTAATCCTGGAAGAAACCAATATCATACATGTGCATGCGATCACAGTTTTTATTAAAGTCAACAATACCTTACAAGTATAATAGATGCATTTGTAACATATCAGTGTCTTGTGAATAAAGAGTACTACTCATTTAGTGGCTTGTAGAGAGGAATTGATTTGAAAGTAGTTTTAACCACAGATTGGTATCAATCGAATAATCATTCAAAACCTGGATAACGGTCACGCTATATCGCGAATTAATATAAGTATGAAAATGTAAACCACTGAATTTCAACCAAGTAGATTATTGGTATACCCGACCTATTGCGAAAACTAATAATCTCGGGTTCGATTGCCGGTGGGGTCTTGGGTGTGCAGTACTGAGGAGTCTCGAATCAGTGGGGGAGGGGGGGGGGGGGGAAATCCCCAACACTCCAAGGATTTCGACGATTTTCTAACTAATATTTATTCGTGACGAAAACTACTTTCAAAAGATTTCGCAGCTTTTAGTTCCCTGTCGTTGATTGGACCGAATAGATCGGCCACTATTCGCATACGGGCTCCTATGCAGATGCCTCAATACTCTCGGTAATTTCATTTGACTCTTAAAGTGATGACCTTTGGGTTCGATTCCCAGTGAAAAGAACTTCACCAACTAGGAGGTATGTACACCCAGTTGGCGAGTTTTAAATGGGATGAAATACACGTCCTGAATTCCACTACTGGTCACTATCCATCACGACTTTCAAAAGAGTAATATCTTGTTTTTATTCCATAATTCGCCTTATCTAAAATACTAAGACGTATGAGTGTAGCAGATAATGGTTTGTACTCAACTGTTACATCAAGCGTAGCCAGTCTCTGGCAAACATTGAACTCAAAGACTTTCCTTCTTAGGAGAGAGTAGGCTTACTAGTCAAAGTCGAATTTCATTCAAACCTTATGTTTATCTTAACTAATGTACTATATTTCGTTTTTTGCTTCATCCCATTTTCGTCCTATGGCTTTCAACAGCTCTTGATTGACCCATTTCCCTTCCCGTGTTTTTTGTCTAGTTGCTGTGTACCTTATTGTGCTCATGTGCAGCTTTCTGACTTGAAGTGTTATGCCAATTTTAACTGGTTTGACTTGAGACAATTGAAACCGATAGTTCAAGAACATTTAGTGACATGACCCAAAACTGTTTGTCATATCTTTGTCTCAACCTTACAAATTGTATTGTCATTTGTCTCAATCTCCCTTTTCTGTTGCCTTGGAGCCTATTATAATTAATTGATATAACTATCATTTCCAATCTAGCTTCTTTCATTCGATTTACTTGTGTTTTGTTCCCCTTGTAATCAACCAGTCTAAATAATCGCATAAAAATATCCATACATTTCATTCTCTTATATTCGGCGTCTATTTTTAGAAAAAAGCAAACCGGAAATGGTTTTTTTCCATTTCTCAGCAAACTGGCTAAGCTAAACGGTTTCAAGAGTAAGTCAACTATCAGATGGATGAAATAGCAATGAGAAGTTTGTTAAGACATATGAAATTTCCCGAAGTCCTGATGAGAAGTCATAACAGGTGGAGGGAAACCAAGTCGGAAGTGAGGAGAAGTACTCATCGAAGGCATTGAATGAAGGTCGTGCTATGTCATGAACTGACAAAGGTAGTGAAATGTGGAGCATTGTACCCCGACTCAGTGGATCGACGGTAACTTGCCTGCTACCTGGGTCAGATCTCCGGCGGGATTATGAATGCGCACTGCTGAGGGGTCCCATACTAGGGCAAAACAGCTATCCAAAGCTCCCTGATTTTCAACGGTTCTCCAAATAATGTCAGTCCATGGTGAATATCAAACTGAAATTGATAAAACCCCAACAAACCTCCGAATTGAAGAACAATATGTTTCGGTTTCTCGACTAATTTATACATTTCTATAGCCTCAGCTGTATGTAAAAGGTGAGTTCGGACTCCATTGGAAAGGTTAGATGTGATGCGGTAAACCACTTTGAACACTTTCATCTACTCCACTCTTAGAAGAAATGTGTACAGCCTTTATCTCTGCCTTGGCCAGGGAGAACTTAGTGAATGACCTTACTCATAAATTTCCAAAACGTTCTTCTCCCCTTTTTATTTTATTGTTGTCACCCTTTTCACACCACTACTATATTCACATTCAAATTTTATTTATTCACTGCCTTCATCCTCTAGTATTACTCAACCTTAGTGTCCTTTTCCAAGCCTTGACCTTTATGTCTCTTGGCATGAACACCGGTTTACATTGTCGTTTCATTCCGAACATTCGTATTTCCCTTAAGGTGGCACTCATCATGGAGTGGCATCAGTTGGAGATACAATGAAAACCTGAGAGCACTCAACAGATGTTTCATCCTAGTATGGAATTCCTCGGTAGTACGCAGCCACGAACTCGCGTATCCTTTTTAGTACTTTATAGTACTAATTTTATTATTCTAAAGTACACAATCCGTATCCTTGTTATCGTTGACTCACAAATTACCTGTATTGGTTCGCATTTTACAGATATGTTGAAAGTTACGTATATTAGAGTGAAGCCTGATGAGATATATTCGGAAAAAATATTATTCGCTCACATGTTCTGTTATAATTTTCATAATGGGTATTCTTAACACTTCAAAGATTAGCTTCCCGATCTATTTATGAGTTTATCAACCAACCTCTATCACTGTTTGATAAGTCATGAAACTTCTGCACTTCCCTGCAATACCTAATGCACACAGATCAGTACTCACAAGCAGGATTATGGTTCACTGGCTTAGACAGCCAGCGGAGCGTGGGTTCGAACCCTGGCCTACCAGCTAAAGTTTGGATAGTCAAGGAGTATCACCTACCTTTGCTTTCTGACTACAGTATGAAGCTGCATATAGCCTCTAAGTAGCGTTATATGACAAGTTTCTCCCAGGTGATAACCAAATATCGAAGGAAATTTAAAAAGCTCTATGAGACATTTCAACCGTTCAAAATGGTTTAAATATCACAATCAAGTATCTTTACTATTTAGCCTACAAAAATTCCTAGTTTTCGTTTAATCCAAGGATAAAGCAGATACCGCAGGATTTAATACTGACAATACAGAAATTAACGAAAAGAACCAAACAATTTGAACGAAAATCATATTAGTTTATTTTGATATTCTGAAGGACAAAAAAGGGTGAGTTAACCACTATCCAATTAAAAGAAATATAAAATTGGCTTTCATTGAGTTAAAATGCGGCCATCCGCTAGAGCACTCGAATGTCGTTCTGCACACTACGATAAGGATGCGCAAACCAAATAATTCGCTTCCTATACAGGGTGAATATCTCGTAGAAATTCACAACCTACTTATCTAACAAAACCAGTAGTCTGAAAAACACTTTAAATTAACGAGTGATTAAATTCATCCAACAGGCTTCATGAAACAACTACTGAGTACGACACTCGGCAGGCAAAAGTGTTGACAAAATTTAATGGAACCGTATCACGTATAAGCCATGCCCTCAGACTATAATCAATTAAATACAACACGATATAATAGGTTGGACGTACATGCATAACCCAACGCAATTCGTCAGGAGAATCAAAACGTACTACAGAAGCTGGACCTGAAAAAGATGGACGTGAATTTAATGCTCCAGAAGGATTTTGAGCCGCAGGAATAGATTCACTTCTATGAGAAAGAGAACTATCATGTTGTGTCACGTCTGTGGTACCCAACACACCATCAGATGAAGATGATATAAGAGTACATGAACAGTCACACTGAAAGAAAAAGATTTTTTTGAAACAAGCTGAGATACAAATATTAAAATGAAATAGTTTATCTCGTATTGAAGTACTCGTTAAGTATTTGTGTGGTCGTTTTCTGTAACTTATTAGCTATGCAATAAGTAGAGGGCATACTCATATAATTTATGGAAATTCACGTTAAACATAATTTGACATCAGAAACCGTGTGAACTGTAACTAAGATTGTGGAGTTTTGGCTCGTTTGTCTAGGCACTCCACCTTCCGCTAGTAGGTCTCCGGCTTGAACCTCGCTCCAAATACCACGATCCCGGCTAATAGGGAACGAAACACACTCAACCGCTTTGTGCATATCTGTACAGTAGACAATAAGCCACACCCATTGTGTGAGGGCTGGTGATACTACCTGGCTGCCCAAACCTCGGTAGGTGGAGCAGGGTCGGAACTCGTGGCCCAATGGTTGATAGTCATCTCCCTAAACCACTGAGCCAAATTGTTGCTCCAAAATCGGTCTTCGACAGCACCCCAACTAACAATTCAGAGTGAAACCGTTGAGCGCATCGAACACTTCACCTACCTAGGAAGTTGATTCACCCCTAACCTGGTGGCTCAGTGGCCGGCAAAATCTATCCATCAATACAAAAGATCGCTTGGCTTTTGCTAACTTACGTCAACTGTGGCACAGCAGCGACATCCGATTGTCTATTAAGGGTCGAATGTATTATGCTGCAGTCAACTCTGTTCCACTAAATGACTGCGAAACATAAATATTGAAAGCAGAAGATATGAGAAGGCTTCTGGCGTCTGACCACCGCTACCTTCTATCATAGGCCGTGTTCCCTAGTATCAATGCGTGACCAACGCAGAAGTCGGCAGCTTTAGGCAAAAGAGGTAAGACAGTTGATGCCGTTGTGAACCTTCATCAACTGACATCCATGGCTGCGACATATGTTACGTAGACCCAACCACCACCCACCATCTCCCTCGTCACACAATCTTCGTCGAAGTACGTTCAGCCTGGAAAAAGGCCCGTAGTGGCCAGACTAAAACATAGTATCAATGCATGAAATGCTTGACTGCTCGTTCGAGTCATGTAGAGTGGTGCAGACTAGCCGGTGAGGGTCCACACGACAAAAGAAACCTATGGTTAGAGACTCTAGGTGATATGGCTCAAAATCGATGTCAGCGGTGTAGATGCATACACACATTATCCTCATCTCAACATCTTATTCTTCCTTCCTCTCTTCTACTACTTTCTACTTCTACTTCCTTAGAACGATTTTTCTTTCCTTCATCATCTTCCATTTTATTGCCTTGTTACTTGATGTGCTGATGAGGTATGGGAACTTGAACCGCTACGCAGTAATTCCTGGTCCTATGTTGATCTTGATGATGATGACGAGACTACTGAGCCACAGTTCCCGGCACATGTTTAGGATCACTAGCCATCATACACTAGGTGTGACTCATCGCCTATCTTGCGACCATGTACGTGTATTTTGGTTTTTTCCACCACTATGATTACAAGCGATGTACGGTTTCCAAGAAATTTTCCGGATGTTCTCTACGTTGATCTTAGCTGGAAAGTGATTAGGTTGCAAAACTTGTAACGGTGATTATGAAGCTCAACTTAAGAAATAAATCAACCGTATCGTAAACGCCTGCTAGTCATGTTACTTAAATATTTTGGACTAAATAATTAATCTACTGCTACTAGTTGGCTGGAAAATTAGATTTTTTCTAACTGCAAAATATTAATATAGACAGAAGTAATGCTTACAGAAACTCGTCTGAAGCTAGCTGGTGAAATTAACCGCTATCTTACTAGAGGCAGTCTAAACTGATAGTCAAACAAACCTCTGGACAGCACAATAATGGCATAGAACTAAAACGAGATATCTCTATGTATTCTAGATGTAAAAAGATGAAAATCTAGTGAATTCGTTCCCAACCCAGCCAAGCAACTGGAAGATCCCATGCTTAGTCGTTGCTAAGCTTCAATCGATAGTACAAATTTTTAGTCAGTACTTGCCATTTTTGTCTTTTTGTTATTATCGACGTACAACTTTCACTTTTTCTTGAGAACTGAGATAATCATAAACCGAAATCAACCTAATTAAAGCTTCTGTTCACTAAACTGGTGATAATGAACACCAGTGCTAACGACTATTGGCCAGGAACTACTGAGTTGTTACCCCATTCCTTTAGTAGCAATTTTACAAAATTAAACATCTGGTGATCGCTAACAACCCACCAATACCTTTGCAACTCATTCTTGTCCATGATAACATCGCATCGTGGAGATAAACAAAGAGGTAATGCGATACTCTAATTCACCACTAACTAATGCGGTAAATATTTATCATTTTAGTTGATTTGGTTATGGCTAGCAGTGGAATCCAGGATGTGCGTTTCGTCCTATTTGGGACTCGTCAGTCGAATGTACCCGCACCCCAGTGAGTGATGTTGTTCCCACTAAAACTAGAATCCGGTAAAAATCACTTCAGACGCCACAGCGTTATCTACTAGGCCACTGAGTGGAGTTCAAAACTGAAAATACAAGCAATATCGAGGCATCGGCGTAGCGGTTCATACACCAATAGGGACCGAGTAATTCGGTCCAGTCAACGACAGGATAATACAAGCAACATCATATAAATCCACTGTAGTGTTGAATAAAATATTCAGCTTACCTTAATACTCATGACGGTATTGGTAGCTATTGAGTTCGCCACCTCTACAGGAAATAAACGCAAGAAACTATCATGCTCCATAAGTTGGACATAGATAGAATTCAATTCGGGTGACCACTCGTTATATGCATCTAGATGGAAAAATACAGTACTAGGTAAACTACTGAGTGCAGGTAAGTGAAAAAGATTCAATATATTGTAGCTTACTTGGTGGCTAACAGTGAAATACAAGACGCGCATTTCATCCTATTTGGTACTCGATAGCTAGATGTACCTGCACCCCAGTGAGTGATGTTCCCACTGAGACTCGAGCCCAGTAATCATCGCTTCAAACGCCAGACCGCTATACACTAGGCGACTGGGGCACGACAGCCACCTCTTATGCAGAGGGCACCAGTTACTGTTTATTAACGCTTGAAATTTCCCGTTGCTATACACTGGGTCAAGTTGGTCGATTCAAATTTTACGAAATATGTAAAATGAGTCTCAATTCTCGAAATCGCGTTTTAATGTGCAATGATACAAACAATGAAAAAATGCATTTAAAGCTTTCGAGATTACTTTACAAATGAAAAAAGTATTGAAACATGACATGGATTTCAGCACCGTCGACTCCAAGGAAGGAGAATAGCCAACAATCTGCATAAATAACCATTCACTATGTCAAACTTCGGTTCAACTTATTCTGAAGCAAAAAAACAGTACTAAACATCAAGAATATGACTCATACACAAGACAAATGAACAGCATACACGACAAATTTCAGTCTCCCGTATCATCTCTTGCTCTCAGTCATAAGTTGAAAGAGAATGGTCCCTATAAACGATGAGAAATTCTATGCACTGCTCTAGCTATTTTTTCCATTTGTACAACACTACAACTGAAATGGAAAACGCTTGTTCAGTTACTGTTTACTGATCACATAGTACATGACTTAAGGAATATCAGACTAAGTACAGTACTAGTTAGAGTGATTGATATCGATTCAAGAAACAAAAACTCTAAACACAACAAAAGTAAAATTATGTCTTCGAGTATAACCCCCTGAAGTCAAAAGCGACCAACAAAACACACTTCTAAAAAATAAACACAGCATTAAAATGATTAAAAAAAGATTTGCTGCTCAGTATGAGGATGATAATGGTTTGACATCTGAGCCTTGATATTTTGTCGTGAACGTATACCACGGGGTTGTGACTTTTTCAACACTTACTATAGAACTCAGAGTTGGCAGAGTAGAACACAACACAAATTCGTTCAAGTTAAGTAAATTCAACAATGCACTGCTGAATAAACTGGAAGAATAAATATATAACAACAAAGTAACAATTATATCCATAAAACATTTGTGCATTCTGGAGACAATGAATTTATTGTAATATATATATATATATATATATATATATATATATATATATATATATATTTGTAGGTTTGTCATTATTTTTCTCCAGCACTATGTTCCATGTGGTAAGTGTAACTTGTATGAACATGGAGTCAGTCAACAATCTTTTTTTTCTATTTGTTCATGTTGGACTTCAAGGTGTCAATATTATCCCAATCAGCATTAAGTCTTTCATCTGACGTATGTGCTGCTATCGATGAACTCTCCCAATTATATATATTATTGTGTCCCTGTGGACTGACCACTGATTAATCGTTCTTGTTCATTCAGTCTGATTTTATGTGATCCCGGCACAATATATTTTGTATACGACATTGTTTTTACCCAATTTTTTTACTGGATCTTTCAATTAATTTAATTTATTTTTAGATGAGGTTCTTGGGCTTAAGTGCATTTCGAATACCTGATGTTCTGAGATTTCTTTGCATTGACTCACTTGTACCTTTCTTATATGGTAGTACTGCAGTTTTTTGATATTTCTCATTCTTATCGTCTTCAGTTTCTCTTCCCGATGTCTTTTTCTCTTTTCTAATATTGTTCATCTTTTATGAACTGTTCAAGATAGTGATTTTTCAGTAACATCTTGAATAAAATGTTTATTTCTTCTCTCAGGTACGCTATCAACCTACGTATTCTATTTGCTGGACTCTGCATAAATTCTCTTCTTACACTGTGCGGATGCACTTAGTGGTAACCCAGAAATCTTCCTGAATGCGTAGGTTTTCCGTAGATCGTGGTTTTTAAGCTTCCATATGTCATTTTTGTATCTTACAGTCTAACGTTAGCAGTTCTTCCAATTCATCCTCTATTTCCATACGTGACTGTTAATATACTCATGGAAACTGTCAGTACCTTTCGTCTTTATTATGTATGACTAGTGTGTCGTTTACATATCTCCACCAACTTTCGACCAAGGATTTTAAGGCGTTTTCTTCCCAAAATTCCATGAACATGTCGGCTATCATTGGCTATTTCTTCATTTGTTGAATATTTATGAACAGTCCTTCATACTGTTTCTAAATAACGAATCGTCCTGACAAAATAAATTTAATGGCATTATCTTCCACAAGCTTGCAGGCGGAAGCAATGTTTAGTGCAAAATAAAAAATTACCACGTTTGATAACTTAGTTCAGGTAATTTGCACAGTCTTATGATCGACAGTAGAGTCACATCACTCTCGAACCGAAAGCTGAGGATACATCCAATATGAAAGCATGGACAATAGTGTTTTACTGCCACTGATGTTATGATTTACAACTTTTAAAAGTTCCTTACGCAGTGTTTTTTAAGAGGTATCAGGGATGGGTTTCTTAAAATGAGAGCAACGAAACTAATAACGGGATTAGTGATGATGTACTGTCTCCATGAGCCAGGAAAATCAACAAAACTATATATCTACCCTAAGTCTTTATAGTCAACGAAATTTCCCAAGTTTGAGTTGTTCAATATCATTGTAAAACTCTCAACAATCTATTCTAAAAAAGCTGAAATCTATGGGTGAACACAGCGAAGTTTCAGTACTTCTATTGAAGCCCTACAACTGATTTCACAACCATTGTCATAAAATTATCTTCAAAATAGCGATTACACCAATTTAAACTAAAATTAGAACAAGTAACCATAGCACACAATTCATTTCAAGATATCATAAAATCGTAATATCATAAAACTAGCTTACTTGAATCCATTATACAAGATGATGATAGAAAATGGGCCGGACGATGAGTAAAATCCAGTATAAACCAGATGTTTAGTCAACAAAATACGAAATGGCAATCTAAAAATAAAAGAAAGGACACGAATTGGGATACCTGGAGGAACCAGTGCGGAAAACGAAATCCTAACCCCTCTGAGATACGTAACAAGTGGTAGACAAAGTGGTTAAAATCAACATATTTGCGATAAGAATGAAGCGAAATTGGGAATGACGATTAAACGATTATTCCTCGATAGACTTAAGTCTAATCTGTGCACAGGTTTATCAAAAATCGCGAGTTTTCTCCCCATGCATACCTGTCAGATAGATATTAGTAACACAGTGACTGGAATGTGTAAAGACCCCAGACGTTACGATTTAGCAAGCTGCAGCGATTGTTCAGCCCAGATCAACCGAATTCATGTCGCCTAGTCCTGAGTGCCGACCGGATTCTACCGACCATTTTGCAATGTGGCTATCAAACTAGAAAGTTCCCTCACACACAAACTTTGATGGCTGTTATTCGGTTGGAGGCAGTCGGCAGGAAGCCCTGAAATTAGGTTTCGTGCTTGTTGGTAATCCTTAGAAAGACACATCCATAACAAGAAGGGTGCTGATTTCCCCTGTGAAACTTGATCCGGCACCATCTAGAGTTGCAGTCAGCAACGTTGCTAATGAGCTATACAGACCACGACTGACCTGTAGGACTGGATTACACACATTGATTGGTCACTAGAGAGTAACCGATCTTATGCTGTCTAGTCCCGAGTGCTGACCGAATTCTGATTTGGAATTCAATCAGAGGAAAGACAGAAATGACAATCATATCAAAAGTCATGAGAAGCCACAGGATAGCATGAAACAAATCTAAAGGTAATAATGACATATGGTAGTACGATCCAGATAAAGAAAAGTTTTGAACATATCTGAACCAAGTTTTAGCAAGTTTCTACAGCCGTATGGATTTCAACTAGTAAGGAAATGAAATAAAGAGTAGAGAACGAAGTTATCTTGATGTGACTACATATAGTAAAACACGCAGCTAAAATCTTGATAATATGACAGTGCAAGGTGAGCAAAGACAGCTGAAAAAAGAACAGCTCATTTCACAGTATGAAGCAGAAACCAAATCTACCTAGTGGTATAAGCCACAAACGAAGACCCAGGTCTCTTTTAGCACGGAATAACATACAGCTCAATATCTTTATATATATATATATATATATATATATATATATATATATATATATATATATATATATGCTCCCTTTTTGTTCAAGTATTCTCTGACATGGTCATCCAGCCGCCTCTGCATTACTTTAGATAGCACTGGTACAAGTAATGTAGGTCGGTAGCATTTCGGGTTCTGCCTACCTCCTCCTTTGAATATAGGACGGAGAAAGACATGAAACTAATACTAACAAGCTAGACACCAGTTCATTTATATATATATATATATATATATATATATATATTTGATCAACGCCCAACCAACCATCCGTCAGGTATGCCAGGGCTACAGCAGATGAGTGGGTAGATCTATTCCATTGGAATGCACCAAAGACCTGGAGTCGTTCCACAAGACCTAACATTCATTAGCATCCAACATCAGTGTGAGTAGGAGAGACTTGTACTTTTTTAGATCTCGCTTGTAGGTCTTGTGGCTCGGTTCCTTTTCACGGTTATAATCTTCCGAAGGTTGCAGAAGTCTTTACGTTTTTCCTGCTTATAAGCTTTGGAGGTAGTGATTGCCTAGAAGCAAGCGCTAAGAAACTAACTGGTTTACACAAGCTCGTAGAAAGATATTGTGTTTCGGATCAAGAACGACCTAAAGACCATCCAGTTAGACGCCATGGAGACATATAATTTTAAAGCTCTAAAGATGCTTACTGTGTAGCAGCTGTAGCAGGAAATTTTTGTTATCTTCAGTCAGGCAAAATATACTTTTATTTTGAGATCACTGCACAACTGGAACGATAAGATTTAATTAGCCTTTTTTTTACCTCCTATAAATGTTAGATAGACCTTCAAGCTAGAGAGAAATGTATGTTAGCCAGTGTTGTCTAAAACTGAAGTAGCGTAAGCACTACTTTACCCGCCTAAGGAATTTCCAATATCCAATATTGATAGTGCCACAGTGCAAAACTGACAGTTTTTGATCTCTCGCGTCTAGTTCTTAGGGCTTGATTCGAGTTGCTTGGTCCACTCCTCCAGTGGACAAGGAAATCCCCTCTGCTTTTAGCTTCGGTGAGGTGGATGTTTTGTGGGTTAGTAAGTAGTAATTTTCAGAGTGGTTGGAGAGCTAGGAGCTGCTCAGAAGGTTAGGGGATTGTCGTGACTCCTGTTTGTGTAGGTACCTGAAAGAGAATAATAGGGTAGTGGTGAAATAATGAAGCGGGAAGGAAAAAAGAGAAGAAAGAAGAAAAATAATAATGAGGGAAGAGAAAACGGAAAAGAAGGGAAGGAGAAGAAAAGGAGGGGTGATAAAGGGAAATAAGAATGGAGGAAAAGTAACATACTACAACATAGTTGTTCAAATGGCTCAATTGGTTGTTGGCGGAATAGAAGAAACTTTTTTGAACTGGCTTCCATGTCTACAATCCGTGAATCACTGTCTTGCGGTTGTTAACCTGTTTACAAGTAAAGAAAGAGGAAAAACTGGCGTTTAAAATGTGAAAATTCAATTAGTTCTGGGCAGATCCCAGACACGTCAAGTAAGTATCCAGTTAGCGTTTGAAGGATTCAGACGAAGTAGCCTGGATCACAACTTCAGGAAGAGCGTTCCAGAGTTTAACAACTCTTAGGGAACAGAAGTTGTGCCTGACATCCAGCCTGCTATGTTCCAGGCTTGGTTTCTGCGCGTGTACTCTAAGGTTAGCGCTACAGCTAAGGTTTGATAAGTGACCGAGTGGTTGGCCAAGCGTGCTGAAAAAGTTGTGAGTCATTATCAGGTCTCCTCCTAGCCTCCTGTATTCCAGAGGATACAGATCCAGTGCAGCCAGTCGTTCTCCGCATGTTTCCAACCTAAGTCCTGGAACAGATTTTGCAAACGCCCCTGAATGCCTTCTAAGCTTATTTTGTCCTTCTGGAGAGAAGGGGAAAGACGATGTTCCCGAACTTTGGGTGAGGCCGTGTGGAGCTGTTGAAAATTTGACAGAAGCATCTACGATCGAATTGTCCGAAAATTCGTCGAAGAGTTACTAACGCCAAGTTTCCACAACATGCGTTTCCGTCGCAGTCGCCAAAGGATTTTAAGTCTTGAGGGACTAAGACGGCCAAATGCTTCTCTGTCGGTGACGCTTCAAATTCCATGCCGTTGAGGCTATATACGTGGGATGCATCATGTTTCACGTGTATCACTTTACATTTCTCAGGATTAAATGCCAGCCCGTTGTTGACTGTACAGTTGTGAAGTTAAGTCTTCCTGTAGAGATACACTATCTTCTTCACTTTTTATTTCTCTCCAGAGTTTCATGTCATCGGCAAAACGAAGGGTACCTGAAGAAACTTGTTGAGGCAGAAGTTTATGTATATTCGAGAAAGGAGAGGCCTCAGTACTGGACCTTGGGGAACACCACTAAGACATTCTGTCTCTTCAGACAGAGAAGCTCAATCGTTCTCTAGATGAAAGGCCTCGTATGTGTGAAGACAACCAGTCAGTGAGCGGGGGCAGAATCCTGGTTAATCTCAACTTATCAATAAAGCGGCCGTGATTTACACGATCAAACGCTTTGGCAAAGTCTAGATAGATAACATCAATTCGTCCTCGACGAACAACAACGCTAGTCCACCTGTCTACTGCAGTGAGCAAAGTGGTAATGCAGGAGTACCCTTTTCGAAATCCATGTCACTGGGACGCTAAGAAATTTTCCTTTGTGGAGCAATCCCTCAGTCCATCGTAGATTAACGATTCCATTACCTTGGAAGGAATAGATGCGAGTAGCGGAAACATTTTGCTTTTTGACTCCCGCTTCTAGGACAAGTATCTGACTTGAGTAATGCGATCTCTGGAAACTGATAGTTTCTAGTCCCTCCTGTCCAATTCTTTGTGCTTGGTTCTTGCTGTTTCTTTGGTTTGCTCCTCCGCATCGCGCTTTCAGCTTAGCTGAGATCCAACATCCGGTATTAGCATCAACAGTGCGAATAGAAGAAACTTGAATTTTTCGAGCTCTCACTTCCAGGTCCCGAAGCTAGGTGCTTTTTTCAGTTATACTAATCCCTTATAGTTGGCGCTAGTTTGTAGTGTCTCGGAGATATTTATTCCTAGGTCCCTCTATGTGAATACCATGGTGATTACGCGCTTGTTGAGAGTTTTCATCGATTCGTATGTGAAGAGATACACCACCTTGCATTTCTCCAGGTTGAAGCCTGAACCATTCGCAGCTGACCAGGACTCCAACTACAGTAGATCGTCTTGAAGTATTTGAACGGCGAGGTCACTGATGAATTATAAAAGTAGGAGTGACCCAAGCATCGCCACACGATAAATTCCTATTCGTTGCACTCCTTCATGTTGGCCAAGTTCTGTTCACTCAGTACATAATTCTCTGTACTCCAGATATGCTGTAGACCATGCCATGAGCGATTCAGTAAGACCATTTATCGCAAGTTTAGCGGGCATGGTGTTGTGTGACGCGCCGTCGAAAGCTTTGGCTAAGTCCGGAGAGATAACGTTGACTGGTTGCTTGTTGTCCTATCTAGTTGTCGAGTCACCTCAAGTGTTCATCAAGTTTGTGACACATGACCGCCCAGCTGTGCGGCCATATTGGGTGGGATGAACATTTCCGTTTAGGCAGTCCCAAACAACACCTGCAACCAGGCCTTCCAGTATCTTCGACAATACGGGAAGTAACGCCATTCGTCTGGAAATGCATGGGTTTTTTAATCTCTCCCGTTGAAGATTGGCAAAAGGACTGCATTTTTTCATTCCTTCGGGAGCTGGCTAACTTCTAACGAGCTTGTCAGCACGTTGCTAACGGGCATGCTCAGCAC